TGGAATTATTGACAGTAACCAGGACAGTGCTGGGACTGAAGCAAATGATTTTTAATCCTTACCTTGGAGCTGCACCTAGCTCTACTGTGACAGGGCACACCACCATGGAGGAGGGAGGCAGTCTCCCACAGACGGCCTACACTGTACTTCCCTTCTCTCTCCCTCCTGCATTCTTACTCTGTGGTAGGCTGTGGGGAACCTTCCTGGGAAAGCAAGAGTTGGGTGAGGAGGCCCAGCTGAGTCACCCTTGCCTGTGGTCTCAGCCTGTCTTTAGTTCTCTGTCTGAAAACTGAGGCACTTAGCTCCACAGTCGGGTCATTATAAACTCTGATCCAGACAGCCTGGAGCAAGGACCATAGGCACCAGTCTTTTCCAAAAGCTCCCAAGTGACTCTAAAGTGCAGCTCAGGGTGGAGTGCACAGGCTAGCCCCTTCCCACAGCCCATTATGGCCCTAATGTCCCTCATTAGACAAGTGGTCCTCATCAGAGTGGTCCGTGTGCATTTCACCTCTGGATCACAGCACGATGCCAGAAGAAACCTGAAACACTTGCCTGGTGACCTGAGCCAGCTCCTCTGGGAGCTTCCACTCCTAGGAGGAAGCATACGTGGCTGGCTTTCACTCAGGGTCTCTAGCCCCCAGGGTCCTCTGAGTAGACCAGACAGGTATGTGGTGCTTTTGAACCTACGCTGATGGTATCCACAGCCTGCCCTCTTCCACCCTGCTTCAGTCCCTCCCTCCTTCAGGCTCCCATCCAATACCCAGAAGTCCAAGGGCTCTTTGGCTTCCTCTCTGATCTCTTTGCATGTTTTTCTTTTCATTTGTACTGACCACTTAGTATGTGGCCCCAATCTGTGAGGTGATTCCTTCAATCATTCACTCAGCACTGAGTATTGCCACACGGCAGTCCCTGGATCATAAAACCCTGTTCCAGGAACCCAGAGAAGCCAGTGTTCACATACACTGTTTCAAAAACATGTGTCGTCAGGTTTGTACAGCACAAGCCGGTGCTGACTGATCTGGGACCTCCCATTGTTATTTACGTGTGCGTGTGTTCATGTGTGTGTGTGCCACACACACGAACACACACACACACACACACACACACACACGCCACAGTGTGAGAGTGCGGGACAGAGGGCGGCTTGCAGGAGTGGGTTCTTCTCCCCGTGCGGGTCCCAGGGGTCACACTCAGGTTGTCAGGCTTTGGCTGCAGGAGCCTTACCTGCCGAGCTGCTGATCTGTGAACTTGTAAAGGAAGGAAGGGGCAATGTGACAGGAGTCTAGGTGGGAGTGTTCCAGAAAGGAGAATGGAAAGCTTGGGAGAGAAGGTGCCGTGCACCGTGGGGGAAGGAGGAGTGCGTTTGGTGGGAAAGGCGTGTGGCCATATCCTGTGGGTCTTAGATGTCATGTTAAGAGCCAACTTGTGCCAGGTGTGTGCCTTTAATCTCAGTGCTTGGAGGCTGAGGCAGACAGATCTCTGGAAGTTCAAGGCCAGCCTGATCTACATAATGAAAGCCTGTCTCAAAAACAAAACAAAGCAAAACCAAAAGAACCTGGGCGTGTTGGTGCATGCCTTTGATCCCAGTACTCTGGAGACAGTGGCAGAAAGATGTTGGTGAGTTTGAGGCCAACGTGTTCTACATAGTGAGTTCCAGGACAACCAGGGCTACATAGTGAGACCCTGTCTCAAATAAACTAACAAGAAAGCCAATGTCATAGGCCAGGCATGGATACACACCTGTATGTGGTCCAGGCACTTGGGAGTTGAAAGATAGACAACAAATCGGGAGTTCGAGGTTAGCCTCAGCTGTACGTGAAGCCACCATGGACTGTGTGAGACCCTGTCTCAAAAAACAAGCAAATAATGGCCTTTGTATTAACCTAAATGTGAAGTAGCGAAGACTCATGTAGCCTCATGGTGGGGGACGTGGATTGAAACAATGAAGTCAGAACTTGTGATTGTCTGCCATGGTGGAGGAATAAGGGTGACAAAGGTCCTGACAGTGACAGAAACAGGGAGAGTTCTCATTCTAAAGGAAGTGGCTGAGTTTCAGGTGGGATCATCAAGTCTGCGGTAGCCAAAGGACAGTTGGGTGTTAAATAGCCATTCAGTGTAGGGCGAAAAGGGGTGTAGTGAGAGCATAGAAATTGTAATTGAGGCCGTGAAAGCCGAGCAAGGAGACTGTACGTGTAGAGCCGGGAAGTCAGGCCGCTGAGAGCTGCAGCATCTCAGCACGGTGAGGACCAGGTAATGGTAAGCTTGGCTTTAAGGACCCAGACACGGAATGATGGAAGAGGGAGAGCACTGGTGAGAAGTCAGAAGAGGGGAGCCGAGAGCCTGCCATGGGGTTAGCAGCTGGGAGGCTGTTGGGTGCAGCGTCACATTGCAGTAGACTTCGAGTCAGGCATATGCTCATGACTGTGACCCCAGCACTTGGGAGACTGAGGCAAGGGTCTGCTGTGAGTTCAAGGTCAGCTTAGGCTCTCAATAAGAAGAAAGCAGAAGGGAGTGGAGAGATGGCTCAGTGGTTAAGAGTACTTGCTGTACAAAATCGAGGACTGGAATCTGGGATCTTAGTGCTCAAGTAACAAGTCTAGCGTCCATCATCAAATGCTGTGACATCAAAGGGGATGGAGACGAGAGGATTGTTCCCTTATAGCCTAGAAAACTCCAGCCTTGTGGTAACAGAGTACTAGGAGGGACACCTGATGCCCTCTCCTGGCCTCTGAGTGTATGCCCAGGGCTACGCATCATACATTTACATGCCCACACAGGTGTGCATATACCTCACAGACACATATACATACAGCATAAGTAAATAGTTTTAGCTTTTAGTTTTTCAAGTCAGGATCTCTCTACATAGCCCTGGCTGCCCTGGAACTCCTTGTGTAGACCAGGCTGGCCTCAAACTCAGAAATCTACCTGCCTCTGCTGGAACTAAAGGCTTGTGCCACCACACCCTTTGGAATGGGTTTTTTTGAAACCTCAAAGACCACCCAGTGACACACTTCCTCCAATAAGGGCACACCTCCTCAACTCTCAAATAGTGTCACTCCTTGATGTCCTAGTAAGTATCCAGATCTCTGAGCCTGTGAGGGAGGGCCGTTCTCTTTCAAACCACCACAGCTTTTAGGAGTTACCTCCACCTCTCAAACCTGGAGCTTGAACAGATTAGTCACTCTCTGTTCTGTGATAAACACTATGACAAAGGCTGGGTGGTGGCGCACACCTTTAATCCCAGCACTCCAGAGGCAAAGGCAGGCGGATCTCTGTGAGTTGGAGTCCAGCCTGGTCTACACAATGACTTCCTGAACAGCCAGAGCTACATAGAGGAAAAAACAAAAAACAAAACTATGACCAAGGCAAATTATGAAGGGAGAGTTTAAGAGTGTGAGAGAGAGTCCATTATGGCAGTGACAGGCACATCAGCAGGAGCTGGCCTGAGTGACCACGCCCTCAACCAAAAGCAGGAAGCAGAGAGTGAATGAATTAAGAAAAAGAGGCTGTGAATTTGAAAAAGGGCAAAGGGCAGGTACATGGGAGGGAGGAAAGGAAAGGGGAAAATGATGCAGTTATATTTTAATCTCAAAGAGTATTTTAAAGAGAGAGAAAAAGAATGGAAATGAGCAGCCCTGCGTGCAAGCATTCTTATGGCAGTTCTCCAGCCTGAGGAGACTTGGGCTTGCAAACAGACAAAACAAAATGTAGTAAAATTGTAACAAAAAGCAAGATGAAGTTCACCACAGAGGCCAGAAGAAGGGCTGAAGTTGGGCAGACTGACCTGGGATGGCAGCTTCTGCACCCACAGCAGGCCCTCCTGTCACTCCTCATCCAGCCTCTGCGAGCACTTACATTCATGTGGAGCGCACTGACCTGTGTGTGTGTGTGTGCGTGTGTGTGTGTGTGTGGTGTGTGTGTGTGGTGTGTGTGTGGTGTATGTGTGGTATGTGTGTGGTGTGTGTGTGGTATGTGTGTGGTGTGTGTGTGGTATGTGTGTGTGTGTGTGGTGTGTGTGTGTGGTGTGTGTGTGGTATGTGTGTATGTGTGTGGTGTGTGTGTGGTATGTGTGTGTGTGTGTGGTGTGTGTGTGTGGTGTGTGTGTGTGTGGTGTGTGTGTGGTATGTATGGTGTGTGGTGTGTGTGTGTGGTGTGTGTGTGGTATGTGTGTGTTTGTGTGGTGTGTGTGGTATGTGTGTGCGTGTGTGGTGTGTGTGTGTGGTATGTATGGTGTGTGTGTGTGGTGTGTGTGTGGTATGTGTGTGTTTGTGTGGTGTGTGTGGTATGTGTGTGTGTGGTGTGTGTGTGTGTGTGGTATGTATGGTGTGTGTGGTGTGTGTGTGGTGTGTGTGTGTGTGTGTTATACACATACACACAGTTTGGTTAAGGGACTGGAGAGGTGGCTCAGTGGCTAAGAATACTCGCTGCTCATGGGGACTGAGTTGGGTTCCCCAGAACAATGCTCTGTGGCTCACACGGCCTGTAACTTCTTCTCCCAGTCATCTGGCGACCTCTTTTAGCCTCTGCAGGCACAAGCACTTACATGTGTTAACACACACACACACACACACACGTGTGTAATTTAAAAATAAATCTTTTAAAAAATGAGGATTGCCTAGCATTGGTTTATAATTTTTTGAGACTGGGTGTTTCTATGAAGGCCTGGCTGTCCTGGAGCTCACTGCCTCTGCTCTTACTCAGATTAAAGGTGTTCAACACCTCAAATGGCTTGTTTGGCGTTTTGTTTTGTTTTGTTTTGTTTTTTCGAGACAGGGTTTCTCCGTGGCTTTGGAGCTGTCCTGGATCTTGCTCTGTAGACCAGGCTGGCCTCGAACTCACAGAGATCCGCCTGCCCCTGCCTCCCGAGTGCTAGGATTAAAGGCGTGCGCCACCACCACCCGTCACAAAACACTCTTACACATTAAATATATAAAAAAATAATAATCTATTTATACTTACAACAGTGAAATCAACATTTTTCTTGGTTCTTTGGTCTACAGGCACAGAAAAAGTGTTTGACCCAGACCTCCCCGATTCCCACGGCCAAGACCACAGACGGCCTGAGGCAATCCCAGATCCCTGGGCTCTTGAGCACAGCACTGCCAGGTAAGATGGCCGTGCGGGTGTCTGCTGCAGTCTGCCCGACCCCAGTCTCTGTCGTCAGCAGTTGCTCCTGAACCTCACCTGACTCTGAATTCACCCTGTCAGCCCTTTCCTCTGTGCTCCTGAGGCTGCGGGGTTCCATCAGTTGTGAGGAGGCCGTTTAGCATGCCGCTCAGAAGAAGAAAGCCCTTCTAAATTATGAGACGATAAATCATATAGAAAAGGGAGCGTCTGAGAGGTGATGAGCCAGGTACACAGCTTTGTAACTGCCCCATGCTGCTGTGCGTGCGTTCAGACAGCCTCTCCCCAAACTGTGTCAACGTGCTTCCCACCTGCTCCGCCCCATTCACACCCAGAGGACAAGCAGCCTGTTGCCTACCACTGTGTATAGCAAATGCCTTACCAGCTCCATACATGACCAAATACAGGAGGCAGAGCATCCTTCTGAGTTCCCTCTGGGCCTCCTTCCTGCAGGTGAATCTTGGAGTTATGAAGTTCTGAGGCCTGCTTCTCAGACCACAGAAAACTGAAAACCACACATAAAATTTGCAACTGTTTATTACAATGGATTTAGTTGGTTCTATTTATTGCCTACTCAAGAATTTAACACCACCTGCTTCTGCCTCCATAGCTAATAGATCACAGTGTCTCCTGCTCCCTTCCCCTTAACAGGTTTTCATCAAGACATCCCTTTCAGACTGGGTGTGGTGGTCATGCCTCTAATCCCGCCACACTGGAGGCAGAAACAAGATAATCTCTGTAAATTCAAAGCCAGTCTGGTCTATTTAGTAAATGTCAGGTCAGCCAGGGGCTAAATAGTAAGATCTTGTCTCAAAATAACAAAAAAAGAAAGAAGTCCCTTTCAGATGCTGGACCAGACTGACTGCCTCTGATAAGTAATGTCTTCTATATTCATTCCGATAGGACAGGATTCTGGAAGCAAAGGTATGCCAGCATCCTTGGGGACCGCACAGCCACAGCAGGAAAACCCAGTTGGATCATCCCCTAGCCAAACAACTGTGCAGGTAGGAAACTGTTGGCATGTTTGCAGTGGCCCTTCATGGCTTTAACCGAATGACTGTGTAGTCTCAAGAGGCTTTGTGGTCGGTGTCCAGCACTGTGCACATAGCCTGTCTCCAAGTGCACATAGTCAGCCTGTCTCCAAGTGCGTGTAATGGTGTGGATGATGAAGGCCTCCCCAGGAGCCCAGGTCTGGTCACATCAAGTTGATGAATCTTTCTCAACTATTCCTGACATGTTTCTGGTGCCTCATGAATCCGTCATAGATCAAGGGCTGGGTGTTGTGAACTATTTGCCTACTGTGTGCAAGGCCCTGGATTCGATATCTAGCAGTGGTATGTGCACACACACACACACACCAGTACTCTACACATTAAACACTAAAGAAAGGTAAATAAATCATCACCAGGTTGTGAGTTTTCCTAGCTAGCATTGTCAACTTGGCACAGGTAGAGTCATCTGAGAGGAAGGCCTTGACTGGGGTATTGCCTCGCTCAGGTTGGCCAGTGAGCGTGTCTGTAAGGGATTGTCTTGATTGTCTGGGGGCCCAACCCACCGTGAGTGACACCGTTTTTCTGGGCAGGTGACCCAGGCTGTTCCAGACACTGATCTAGAGAACAGTAAGCAAGTAGTGTTCCTTCACAGTTCCTGCTAGTTCTTGCCCTGGCTTCCTTCAGTGAGGGATGGTAGCCAGAGAGTGCAAGCCAAATAAATCCTTTTCTTCTCTAGTTTGCTTTGGCTCAGAGATCTTACCAAAGCCACAAAAAGGAAGATAGAACAGGCTACAGCTCAGTTGTAAAGCAGTTGCCTAGCATGAGCAAGGCCTTGGGATTGATCCCTAACAGTGCTGCATGCACACGTGCGCACACACACACAATCACACTCACACTCTCTCACTCACACATATACACACACACTCACACATACTCTCACACACACTCACACACACAATCACACTAACACTCACACACTCTCACACTCACTCTCTCACTCACACACTCACACACTCACACACTCACTCACACACACAATCACACTAACACTCTCACTCACACACTCACACACTCACTCACACTCTCACACACACTGTCACACACACTCACACACACTCTCTCACTCACACACTCACACACACTCACACACACTCACACACATACACACAGTCACACTAACACTCTCACTCACACACTCTCTCACACTCTCACTCACTCACACACTCTCACTCACACACAGTCACACACACACTGTCACTCACACACACACTGTCACTCACACACACACTCACTCACACACACTGTCACTCACACTCACACACACTCTCTCACACTCACACACTCTCACTCACTCTCTCACACACACACCGGTAGCCAACATACTCAGACACTTAGGAAGCTGCATTCATAGGGCTGGGGATTGTAGTTCTTTTGTCATTGCTGGGGCAAAATACTTGACATAGCAACTTAATGAGTGAAGCGGAGTTTTGCCTCACACTTTAAGAGTTCCGACGGGCGTGGGTGGCGCACGCCTTTAATCCCAGCACTCGGGAGGCAGAGGCAGGCAGATCTCTGTGAGTTCGAGGCCAGCCTGGTCTACAGAGCGAGTTCCAGGACAGCCTCCAAAGCTACCCAGAGAAATCCTGTCTCAAAAATCAAAAAAAAAAAAAAAAAGAAGGAAGGAAGGGGAGCTATTTTGTGTCTAGCTTTCTAACACCTTGGTTTCTTCCTCCAAATTTGCTGATTAATAGCTTACTGAGAGTTGCTATTCAGCTTTCTGTAGACTTAACCCTGGTGCTCTTGGCCATACTTGCTTGCTTAGGTTTTCAGCAGGACACATTTTGAAGTTTTACTTTGTTGATACTTAACGGGAAACACTTGGAGCATAGCAACCTTTATCTGTAACTGTATTTTGTGTGATTTTTTCCTGTGTTTTATTATTAGGTGGACAGTCATTCGGGACAGAAAAGGCCTGCCACCAAACAGCTAACTAAAGGAGCTTTGTAAGTTATACTTTGAAAGGAAAAATTAATTCTTGGGTTTTCTCAGGGTATCTTAGGGTCCATTGTTTTCACTAAATACACCATACACCTCACTATAATAGTGTGTGTGTTAGTTTTTAAAAAATGTGTCTTGAATCTCTCACACCTTTAAATCCCAGCATGTGGGGAACAGACATGAGTGGATCTCTGGGTTTCTGTGAGTTCCAGACCAGTCTGGTCTATACAGTGAGACCCTCACCCATGTCAGACAAGCCAGGACAGCAGGTGGATCCCTGGGAATCTCTGGCTGGCCAGCCCAGCCTGCTTCACTAGTTGTTGGTAACTGAGAGAACCGGGCTCAATAAAACAAGGGGGGAGCTGGGCATTGGTGGCGCACGCCTTTAATCCCAGCACTCGGGAGGCAGAGGCAGGCAGATCTCTGTGAGTTCGAGGCCAGCCTGGTCTACAGAGTGAGTTTCAGGACAGCCTCCAAAACAATACAGAGAAACCCTGTCTTGAAAAACCAAAAAAAAAAAAAAAAAAAAAAAAAACCAAGGGGGGGCCTGAGAACTCCGCAAGGGGAAGGTGGAAGGCGAGACCTGCCTTGTGCAGGCTGACCTCTGACCTCTACCCGAGTTCCTTGATGCATGTGCGCATGCCACAAGAGGCGGGGTTGGCTTCTGTGGAAATGTTTTCGTGCAGTTTGCTCTCCTCAGGACCTGTAAGTAGAGGAGGTAAGGGAGCTGTTTGCTCTTCTGGTCTGGAAGCGAATGCCTGTCTCTGCGGGCAACCACACACTGACGCCTGGTGGAAAGGTTGTGAATTTGAGGTCAAGTTCCTAGCAGTGATAGATGGAATAAAAGTTTGGAAAATGCAGTGCCGCCGCTCGACTGTAGAAATGGCACTGCTAATAAATGGTTTAACTAATTGTGTGACCCTACCTGAACACTCGCTGTTTCCCTTTTACAGCATCCTCCAGCAGTTACAGAGGGACCAAGCCCACGCTGTGACACCTGACAAAAGCCAGTTCCGATCACTAAGTGACACCGTGCAGAGACTGCTGTCCTACCACGTGTGCCAGGGCTCCATGCCCACGGAGGAAGACCTGAGGAAAGGTGAGAGCCACAGCCCAAGGCACAGCTCCCTGACTGGTCGACACTTGTTTCCCGTTTACTGTGTTCCCAGCCCATGGGCAGGGCTGTGACTTTTCTTATATGCCATGAAGGGTCTCCTGCTGCTGACTGTAAATGTGAGGATTTCTTCCCCAGTGCACACGAACTTAACCTTACTGTGGTACCTGCTCCAGGAAAGAGTTAGCTCCCTGAGGTCCCAAAGCAAGTCTAAGGCATTGTCTGAATTTCAGGGAACTGGTAGAGTTAGGGACAGGCCCCTTCTCCAGCCCCAGAACCCCACCTGTCCTCGGGCCTGTTGTCTGTCTGAGTCCAGTAGCAGGGATTGGTGTTACCCCGCCTCCCCCCCCCCCCACCCTCCATGATCTCATCTTCCTCCACTGCCACTGGTCTCGGAATGAAATGCTATCTCCCAACCCACGGGGGCTCCCAAGGATGAGTGGCTTCCGGAGTCAACAGGAAAGAGCTGAGAAGAGTATGAGGAAGAGTGACTTAGAAAATGTGACATTTCTTGAGACTAAAAGTCAAAGCCCAGAGCCTCGGATCATGACCTGCAAGGGGTCATGGACTGGTGTGTGTCTTCGCAGCCAGACAGTCGGATCTGACTTGTTCCGCCCTCTCTGTCCCCCTGCTTCTGGGAGGAGCAGAGCTGAGGGAACCGGCTCCTCAGCTCTGTCCAGTGCTCTTCTGTTGTTGGTTGTGGTTACCTTTTACTCTTTTGGGGGGCCGCCGCCCAGCTCCCAAATAACACATGGAGGCTTATTCTTTCTTATAAGTGCTCGGCCTTAGTTTGGCTTGTCCTAGCCAGCTTTCCTTAAACTGTCTACCTCCTGCCTCTGGGCTTTATCCTTCTCTTACTGTGGATCTTACTTCCACTCTTACCCGTGGGTGGATGCCCTGGCGTCTCCTCTCCTTCTTCTTGCTCCTCCATCTCTCCTCCCACATTCCTCCTCTTTAGTCTCTCTACCTGGCAGCCCTGCCTCTCCTTTTCCTGCCTCGGTATTGGCCATTCAGCTCTTTATTAGAACAATTAGATGTTTAGACGGGCAAAGTAACACAGCTTCACAGAGTTAAAGGAATGCAACACATTTTTGCATTATTAAATAAACGTTCAATGGCATAAACAAGTGTAACGCATCTTAAACTAATATTCCACAACACTGTTCCATCCTGGCCTGCTTGCAGCGGCGACAATAAGCTGTTGCTTTCCTGGGCTGTGCTACACTGAGTTCCCTCCTACCACACACAGTGCAGGGGTGCCAGGACTCTATATGCAGGATGCTTAAGAAAGAAAGGCTAAGGCAAGGGCATCCCTAGTGTGACAGGTAGGCTGTGGGAACGAGTCTCTGCCAGTCTCAGCTAACAGACCAGTCTCTCATCATTTCTCCTTTTTTCTTAAAGTGGACAGTGAATTTGAAGAAGTCGCCACTCAGCTCCTCAAAAGGACCCAAGCGATGCTGAACAAATACAGATTCCTGCTCCTAGAAGATGCCATGGTAAGATGATGTCGTCATGGTAAGGTGATGTCATAGTGAGATAAGCAGTTCAGCCAACCCAAGGCACAGAGAAGGTTCAAGAACCTCCACACACAGAGCATGGTTTATAAAGAGAAATGTTTAAGGTGGCAGAATAGCTTCACACCTAGCCATCACTGAGAGTGACCATTACAGATGTCACTGACAACCGCTTCTGATAGGAACTTCTGAGCCATCCAATAGGACTAGCTCACCAGGCATGGTGACACACACTTTTAATCCTAGCCCTCAGACGCAGAGGTGGGTAGTTCTCTGTGAGTCAATCCAAGGCTAGCCTGGTTTACAGACTGAGTTTGAAGCTGGCCAAGCTTACAGAGTGAAACACTAGCTCTAAAAACCAGTTCTAGCCAGGTGGTGGTGGTACACACCTTTAATCCCAGCGCTGGGGAGGGAGTCAGGTGGATCTTCAAGTTCCAGGACAGCCAGAACTATAAAGAGAAACCCTGTCTTGAAAAACTCAAATGAATGAATGAATAAACGAATAAATAAAAAAAAAACAGTTCTATCGTTTGAGAAGGGGCTATTTACAGCTGGGGGTAGCTCATGGCTATAATTCCAGCAGGTGGGAAGTTGAGGCAGGGTGAGCGACACAAGTTTGAGACCCGCCTAGGCTTCATGAGACTTCGTCTTAAAACAGTAGCAAATGTAATGGCTTCCTGTGTGTACCACGTGTGACGATGGAACTCTAGAGTATCTAGACGCCAAGCTCTCGCTTCTCATTACTTCATTTAGTGACAAACAGTGGTCACTCTCCCTTGATGAAAGAGTCTGAAGTGACTGGCTCTCTCATTTTCAGAGAATCAACCCCTCTGCTGAGATGGTGATGATTGACAGGATGTTCAACCAGGAGGAGAGAGCTTCCCTGTCTCGGGACAAGCGGCTGGCGCTCGTGGATCCTGGTAAGAAACGTCAGGGTGCAGGTGATGGAGGACAGCTGTGATAGTCCCTGAGCAGTGTGGCCTTTGGGAGGCCTGTGTGAACCAACCTGTGGTGAGTCCAGGAGAAGGCATTCCAGGATGTCTCTAGTCTACAAAATCCAAACTGGAATTTTACATTCAGCTAAATGGCTGGTTTTCCCCATTAAACTTCAAATCCTGTAGTTCTGACCTTTGAGAACTAAATTAACCAGAGGTTTCTCAGTCTATAAGAAGAGGCCCTGGGTCTTTGCCAGCCGTGGTTAGGAAAACACCTGTGAAGCATGGCACCTGAGCACCAGCAGGAAGTTGTGGAGCCCTTTGCAGGAAGTTGTGGAGCCCTTTGCAGGAAGTTGTGGAGCCCTTTGCAGGAAGTTGTGGAGCCCTTTGCAGGAAGTTGTGGGGCTCTTTGAAGCTGCTTTTCGCTGTCCACCTCCTGTTGCATTCTAGAGTTTCCCTCAAGTCTGCCCACCCCATTTTTTGTTTTTGTTTTCCTAGACAAGGTCTCACTGTGTAGTTCTGGCTGTCCAGGAACTCACTGTGTAGACCAGGCTGGCCTCAAAGGCACGGGGCCTATCTCTACCTCCAAAGTGCTGAGACTAAAGATGTGAGCCATTGCACCCAGGTCCAAAACTGCCCTTTCGAAATTCTATTTTATTTTTTTCTATTTTAAGCATTTTATTTTTTAATTATGTGTGTGGGACAGGTATGTGTATATTAGTACAGATACTCTCAGAGCCCAGAAAAGGGTGTTGGATGTTCTGGGGCTGGAGTCAGAAACAGCTGTCAGCCACCTGTGGGTGCTGGGAACCGAGTTCAGGTCCTCTGGAAGAGCAGTACACACTCTTACCTGCTAAGCCATCGCTCCAGACCCTTAATTTCCAGTTGTGGTTATGTGTGTGACTGTGTGGGTATATGTGTGACTATGTGGGTATGTGTGTGTGACTGTGGTTATGTATGTGACTCTGTGGGTATATGTATGTGACTGTGTGGGTATGTGTGTGACTGTGTGGGTATGTGTGTGACTGTGGGTATGTGTGTGACTGTGGGTATGTGTGTGTTGTGTGACTGTGGTTATGTGTGTGACTGTGTGGGTATGTGTGTGACTGTGTGGGTATATGTATGTGACTGTGTGGGTATATGTGTGACTGTGTGGGTATGTGTGTGTGACTGTGTTGTTATATGTGTGACTGTGTGGGTATGTGTATGTGACTGTGTTGTTATATGTGTGACTGTGTGGGTATGTGTATGTGACTTTGTGGGTATGTGTGTGTGACTGTGTGGGTATGTGTGTGTGACTGTGGGTATGTGTGTGACTGTGGGTATGTGTGTGACTGTGTAGTTATGTGTGTGATTGTGTAGTTATGTGTGTGACTGTGTGGGTATGTGTGTGACTGTGGGTATGTGTGTGACTGTGGGTATGTGTGTGTGACTGTTTGGGTATGTGTGTGACTGTTTGGGTATGTGTGTGATTGTGTGGGTATATGTGTGTGACTGTATGGGTATATGATTTTTTTTTGGTTTTTTGAGACAGGGTTTCTCTGTGGCTTTGGAGGGTGGGTATATGATTTTAATCTTTAAAATAATATTTGATCATTAGCTTAGTAATTGGTGCGTTCACTTCCCTGTGGTCGTACTGCTTTGTCTTTAATCTCCTTCCTCCAATGTCTTGTCTTTTCCTTTTTTACATTTTTACACTTGTATGTGTATGATTGTTTTGCCTACATATATGTATGTGTACCACATTCATACCTGGTGCTCACAGAGCCCAGAAGTGGGTGTCAGATCCCTTGGGCCTAGAGTCACATGTGGTGGTGTCAGATCCCTTGGACCTGGAGTCACATGTGGTGGTGTCAGATCCCTTGGACCTGGAGTCACATGTGGTGGTGAGCCACCATGTGGGTGCTGGGAACCACACAAAGCCCTCCCTCTGCAAGAGCAGCCAGCGCTCCTATAGCTAAGCCACCTCTCTGGCTCCCTGGTATTTTTACTTTTAGTTTTTGTTGGTATTTTGGTTGTTTATTTATGAAGACAAAGTTTCACTCTGCAGCTCAAACTATGCCAGAATTCATGCTGTAGCACAGACTGGCTTTGAACTCAGTGTAACCCACTTGCCTCAACCTCCCAAGTGCTGGGATTACAGTCGGGAGCCACCATGCCTGGCTCTTCCTTATTGGTACTTAAATGTTAAGTTTGTGCTTTAGGCCTGCCTTGGCTCAGGAGGGTTACAGATATAATGTGTGGGCTGATAGGTAGTCTAAATACTGTGTATGTCCCAGGAGCCTCACATCCTTCCCCAAAACGAAGTCACTGGACCTCAGCATATGTTGTCACATGCCTCATGAGCAGGACCTGCACAGTGGTCTGTCAAGTGGAGTCCTTTTTACATTTTAGACTGTCCCCTGCAGCTCACATTGGGAGGTATGCTGTGACCTCTACATCCTATTGAGTAGTGTAGATGAAGTCACACCTTCTCTCCTTAGGCCCTGCTGCTGTGGCCTCTACCTCAAGTCTTCACAAAAGCTTCTTTTATCGTCCCCTGGCTCCTAGAACCTGACAGAGTTCAACCCTTACATTCAGACATGGCCCCTCCATGCCCTGATGTCCTTGCAAGCAGATATCATTTTGTGTGCCTTTTTGTCATTGGTCTTATGATCTGAGAAGTGATGGAGCCCTGACACCTGAGACACGGTGTGTCCAACCCCCTTGCCACTGCTCCACTGCTCTAAGGAAGGAAGCAGGTTGAAGCCATAACTTTTATTTTCAAAACAACCATTAACAAAAGAAAAATGGGGAGCATGTATCTCTCTTGGTAGTGTTACTCCCAAAGTACCACCACCACAACGAGTCTATTTCCAGTTAACTCACTTGGGTTCCTCCATCCATCTAGAGTGACTGCAGGAGCAGACCAGGAGAGACCCCCGAGTGATGGGGGGAGGGGAGTTTTATAGAGGGGAAGGCTTGGGGAATTCCAAGTCTACAGGCTTGGGATTCGATGACCCCTCAGAGCTAAAGTCTGCAAAGTGTCATGGTATTTCTAGGCTAGGGGTTACTACTTCCCTAGGCTTATGAGAGTCATGCCTCTAGGCTAGAGGCTACTTCTTTACTACTCAGGGAGTGGTCAGTTTTTCCTGCTCAGGGATTGGTCAGTTTTTCCTGCTCAGGGATCGATCAGTTTTTTCTGCCCAGGGATTGGTCAATTTTTTGTCAAGGGTAGAGATGGCTCTGATTTCAGGGCCAAACGGTGTTTTCTTCCCTGGTCCCTTTTAGCTTTTAAGCTCCAATTTTAGGGCCAGGGCAAATTTCTTAAACTGGCTCTGATGCTAGGGGCAAAAATGTGTTCTTTCTGCTCAGGTTTTGGAGTCAGAGTGTTTTTCTCTGGCTCTGGGTTCAGGGATAAAGTGTTTCTTTCTCTGACTCAGATCTCAAATCTAGGGTGTGTTTCTCTTACTGACTCGGCTGAGGGCCAGGCCTGTGCTAGGGTTAGGGATCACAGATCTGGGGTCTGGGTCTCAGCAGAATGCCATCTTCACATGCACAAAACTCTGGGTTAAGCTCCCTACGAGGAAGCTGATCCCAGAGCCTTTCTTGGTTGCTTTGAGAAAATGCTTCTTCGTTAAATTGTCTCTGCATGTTTCTGTGGAAGTCGTGCTGTGGGTGGGCAGGAGGATGAGCGGAGGGGAAGGAGCCCGGGCTGAGGGACGACCCTCTGCTCCCCGTTAGGAGGGTTTGTCTACGCTAGTCCTCACCCTGACCATTAAAGCTCTTTCTGATCTCATTCCCAGAGGGTTTTCAGGCCGATTTCTGTTGTTCCTTCAAACTTGACGAGGCCCCACCTGAGGCACCACATGACAGGAGTGACCAGCATCGCAGCAAAACCAGCTCGCTCCATCAGGCGCCCAGGGGCCAAAGCAGAGACCGAGCCAAGCCAGGCATGGCAGAAGCAACGAATCATGAGCAGTTTCATCTAGTGCCTAACCACATCGTGGTCTCTGCAGAGGGAAACGTTTCTAAAAAGTCAGAAGGCCACGGTAGGACCCTGAAATATGACAAAGGGGGCTTAGGCCAATACCGGGGTGCACCTGAGGACAAGGGCAGCCGGAGGGACCCGGCCAAGGCCAGCGGGTGCTCTCCAGGCCCAGAGGGCCACCGCAAGACTATGCCCAGGCCAGATCATGGCTCTGAGAGCAAGCTCCCAGGCATCCTGGCCAGCTCGCACCTGGAGATGCCGTGCCTCGACTCCTTCCAGGACAAAGCCCTGAGGAATTCCCCAAAGAATGAGGTTTTACACACAGACATCATGAAAGGGTCAGGTGAGCCCCAGCCGGATCTCCAGCTCACCAAGAGCCTAGAGAAAACCTTTAAGAACATTCTGGAACTCAAGAAGGCGGGACGGCCACAGAGCGACCCTGCAGCCAGCGGCGCCATGGACCTTGACTTCCCCAGCTTTTCTCCAATGGTTTCGCAAGAAAACTGCCTGGAGAAGTTCATCCCGGACCACAGTGAAGGCGTTGTAGAAACGGACTCCATTTTAGAAGCAGCTGTAAATAGTATCCTTGAGTGTTAGTAGCCGTCCTCCCCAGCCCCTCCCGGACCAGTTACATTCTCTCCCAGCAAAGCAATGGAAACGTCCCCTGTCTCCAGCCTGCTTGGCCCTCCATCACAGGTTATTCTTTTTAATCTCGACCCTGTTCTTTTGAAGAGCAATACACGTCATCGTGGCTGCAGGGAGACCCCCTCAGTAAACCCATCTCTCCCTAGAAAGCAGTCCGATAGGCCCTACACATTTCAAGTGTTACAAAAGTGCTTATGGCCATTGTTCGTTCATTTGTTTCGTAGTTTGTTTGTTTAGCGCTGTCACTCGATGAGACCACAGTACACTTGGCCCTGGTAAAATTTTGACAATCATAAGTCATTTCAAAAGAACGGACTTATTAAAGAAAAATCAAACAGGACTGATAGAATGTCTCACTGCAGCTCCAAACCAGCGGTTTTGTTTTTGTTTGGGGGAAAAGGGTATTTGTGAAGGGAAGTCCGCATTCTTTCCTCCATGCTTGATGCTCTCTGAGCAGTGGGTAGCCAGCTTCTCTGCCTGGAGCCCCACAGCCCTGGCCTGAGACATGTCTGAAGCGAAGACGCAGAGCATGTGCAGGCCTTCCCTCTTGAACATCGAGTGTTTACGGGATGCTGCTGAAGCAAACCTTTTTTTACGTTTAGCACATCCCTATTGAATCCCGAGAACGTCTGTTCTTAGCCCCAGGTATGCAGCTTACAGTTCTCCAGGCTCAGTAGGGAACAGTGGGGACCAGCTCAGAAGCAGCGGGCTCGGGAGGCTGCTGCACTTTATAATCGGGTGACGTCAGTGTACCTTGTGTTTTTGATTGTTGCTGAATTCTGTTTGTTTAACCTCTTTATCTCCTCATCCTCAGCAAATAGCCAAGCATCAAGAGTGCTGTCACTTGAAAACTTTTTCAGTTTAAACTTTTTAAGGGACTTCGGCCTTGTTAGTGCTTCCTCTTCTGAGAAGGAGTCAACACTGGTGTTGGTCATTCCCAACGCAGTAAACCAAGGGCAACACCTGCATGCCGTCACCAGAAAGAGCCCCCGCCCACGTGGGTACCCACGTTTGAGCCTCCGCTTTATTTGTATTCTTTTCGGGAATGTTCCCCATTTTCCCTTCTTGGGGGCCTGTCCCAGGGCACGGTGTCTCTGTTGCTGCTTTCATTCCTCATGTCGTAGAAAGCATTGCTAGGAAAGCTAGGTCATGGTGCCCTGTGTTCTCCTGCCACACTGCCCACCTGTGTGAGCCTGTGGGATCTGTGAGGGCTTGCTCCCTCTCCATCCCCTGGCTGTATAAATGCATCCGTTGATGTCCACGTCATTGGATCCCCAAGTGGAGTTGTCCCTGTGGTCATCATGTTGACTGTTTCTTTTCCAGATTGACCTGCAGAGGAAAGGGAGGCTTCTGATTTTTTTTTTCTTTTTCAAATAACACAGCAACAATGTAGGCATGTTGGCACACACCTGTAATCCCAGCAGTCAGGTAACTGAAGCAGGAGAGTCATGAGTTCAAAGCCAGCTTGGGCTACATAATACACCCCTGTCTTAAAAACAAGAACAAAAGAAATCAAGCAGCAGCAAACTGTATGTTCCCTTTCTACCTACTGTCCACCTACTGCATAAAGAACCCTGTGAGACAACCAGTCTTCAAGAGAGCAGCGTACTTTCTCCCAGCTCCTAGCCCAGCCGATCAAATAGAGCTACCCTTTTTCCTTATTTTGTGCCAATGTCCAAGTTGCTGGCTTCCTTCCTGTATTATAACACGTTAGAAAGATGAGTTGTTTGCCAGTTAGAACTCTGTTTGGGCCACCCTGGGCTAACAGCCTGCCCTGATCCCTCTGACGTCACAGGCTCTTCTCATAGCCTCGTGGTTGCCTAATTCAAGGCCCCTAGATGCCTGCACATGGCTACTATGAATTACATTAATTATTGCAAATCAGTGGAATTCTTGAAACAAGAAAGGTCTTGTGTATATTTGTTACCTATTTCCTCCCCTGCCACCCTTCTGCCCCAACCCCAGCTTTCCTCCGTCAAATTACAGGGCTTCTAAGCCCTACCATTGGTCCCGCAAGGGGAAAGCCTAACATACCAAAATGAGACTTGTAAATTTTTGTGTCCTTGTATGTAAGTTTACTTTTTAACAGAGGAAAGACTCTAGATAATGACAAATGAAGATTACAAAATGTATTTTACTCCTGTGATTAGGTTACAACGCGTGGGTCAGAACTCATGTGCGAGCCCCCTCTGGTGAAGAAAAGCACCCTGCTCAGTGCCAGCATCTGGTGGTTCAGGCTCATTAGTCAGTTGAGTCCTTGTGCTCAGTAACAAAAATCACTTTTTCTTTTCTTTGTTTTTAATCTGTTTGTTGTTGTGGGGAAGTATGGATTTGTTATTACGCATTGATTTTCTGTGTCCTTAAGTACTGCCTAAAGATGAAGCAAATTTTGAACTGGCAATTACGAAAAGGAAACCCTTTCGCTCTGGAGAATTTAGTAGACTCTGTTAGATTAGGGAGGCCTCACAGGCTGGCCGGCTCAGAGGACGGTCACTCACTGTCAGTGTGGTGTGGGCTTTATTTGCTTAAATACCTTCATTTGTATAGTATGTCTCACTTGAAATTGCTTTGTATACATTTTGTAAAAATATTTATAAAATGTTTTGTAAAAAAAAAAGTATAACAAATTGCAGTTTATTTTGTTATGTTGGATAAATACTGTTAAACCAGTCAGTACCTATATTGTTAATCCATGGTTAGGAAATGTTCAGTTGGAGATTACAAAATGAAACAACCATTGCAATACAGCCAAAGATTTGGGAAAATGTGGAACTGTGATTGTCTTGATTTTGCAACTAGGAATGGCTCCTATCCCCAGAAGAAGAGGGTAAGTGTTCAGTGAATTCTGTATAGATATATTAACATGAACAAAAAAGCCTTCAGTTGAGAGGCCAGGATCTCAACTCATCTACTTCTCTACAGGGACAGATTAAATGAAGTTGCTCGCGTACATGTTGAGTCTCCCTCCCCACAGGTCACCTGGGTCCTTTTCTGAGGAAGGGACACTAGGACTCTGTTAGGATGGCATCAGTGAGCCTACCTAGGAAGTTGACTTTTTTTGTTGTTTGTTTGTGTTCGGTAGTTACGTTTATTTTGTTTTTTGCAGAGGCAAGTAGACAGGTAAGGGGTAATAGACTTTCTCACTTAACACTGTAGAATAAAACCCCTTTCTCGTTGGTTCCTAAACTAACAGATTGTAATGAGAACACATTGTAGGGCCCTCTCTGTACCATCAGCCCTGGGGTCCTTCTGGGTTCCATCCTTCACGGTGTGACTAGACCCACTGACCTCTCCCTCTGGGAGCTTAGAGTTTATACTCACACTCCTTGGGGATCTGGAAGAAAAAGTTGGGCACCGTGTGCTCAGGAACACTGCTCAGTTAATAGAGTGCCTACCTACCTGGAACTAAAATCCTGGGATTGATCCCCACCACACAAAACCTAGGCATAGGGATACCTGCCTGTAGCTGGAGGCAAAAGAATCAGGAGTTCAAGGTCATCCTTAGCTGCACAGCTAAAGACCTTCCTGTGCCCCATGAGGCCTTGCCTCCAAAATAATTAAATAAATTAAATCAGCAGTGCTAGTCTACAACTAGGATGTTACTCTCATAGTCCTGGCCGAGGCTGCACTGTCACGGCGTAAAGACTGTGTGGTGGAGTGGGCAGGTCCTTGGGTGTGGGTCACAGTGTAGTCTTGAGGTCATGTCTCTCTGCATGCCAAGTGCATGTGTGTATTCAACAGGCATTATGGCCCCTGATCAGGCCCTTTGCATTAGTCATTGCCCCAGGAGTAGAGCTTTAAAGAGGAAGACTGGGGGGCTGGAGAGATGGTCCACAGCCTAAAGCACTGGCCCCCTTCCGTGGGACCACAGCTCCAGCACCTGTGTTGGATGGCTCAGCCATTTGTGACTCCAGGCGTAGGGGGTCTGACGCCATCCGGCCTCCACAGGCACGATACAAACGTAAACACACACACACACACACACACACACACACACACACACACACACACACCAACTAAATCATTAGAGCATGTTGACACAGCACCAGGGAGGCAGAAGCAGGTGGATCTCTCTGAGTTGGAGACCAGCCAAGTCTACATGGCAAAAACAACAAAAAATAAGCCAGGCAGTGGTGGTGGCACACACCTTTGGTTCTAGCACTTGGAAGGCAGAGGCAGGCAGATCTCTGTGACTTCGAGGCCAGCCTGGTCTACAAGAGCTAGTTCCAGAACAGCCTCCAAAGCCACAGAGAAACCCTCTCTTGAAAAGTGAAATAAGCCGGGCGTTGGTGGTGCACGCCTTTAATCCCAGCACTTGGGAGGCAGAGGCAGGCAGATCTCTGTGAGTTCGAGGCCAGCCTGGTCTACAAGAGCTAGTGCCAGGACAGCCTCCAAAGCCACAGAGAAACCCTGTCTCGAAAAACCAAAAAAAAAAAAAAAAAAAAAAAAAAAAAGTGAAAAAAGACAATAATACAGGACTAGAGAGATGACTCAACAAATAAGAGCATTTGCTGCTATTCTACACAGAGAAATCCTGTTTTGAAAAGCGAAAGAAGACAATAATACAGGACTAGAGAGATGACTCAACAAATAAGAGCATTTGCTGCTATTCTAGAGAACCTGGGTTTGCTTCCCAGCACCCAAATGTGGCTCACAGCTGCCTGAAACTCATCCAGCTCCAAGGTATCCTAGCCCCTATTCTGGCCTCCAGGGGTATGAGACAAATATGGTACACAGACATACACATACAATAAAAAAATTTTAAGAAAATAATACTGGGAAGCCGCTGGAGAGATCGGTTGGAGGTTAAGACCACTGGCTACTCTTCTAGGGGTCCTGGATTCAATTCCCAGCACCTACGTGGTGGCTCACAACCATCTATAATGAAATCTGGTGCCCTCCTCTGGTGTGAAGGCATAGTTTAGGGAGAACACTATATACGTACATAATAAATCTTTTTTTAAAAGAAAGAAAATATGGAGTTTGAGAGAGAGCTCAGTGGTTCAGAGCACTGGCTGCTCTTCCACAGGACCCAGGTTCAATTCCAGCCCCCATATTGCTCACATCCATCAGTAACTACAGTCCCAAGGCTCTGAGGGTACTAGGCTTGCAGACATGCACAGACATACTTGTATACAAAACACCCATACACAGCCGGGCGGTGGTGGCGCACGCCTTTAATCCCAGCACTCGGGAGGCAGAGGCAGGCGGATCTCTGTGAGTTCGAGGCCGGGCTGGACCGACAGCCTCCAAAACAATACAGAGAAACCCTGTCTCAAACCCCCCCCAAAAAAACCACCCATACACATAAATAAGTCCAATAAATAATAATGTAGTAAATCCTTTAAAAAGGAAGGCTTTGCATTCCCTTGGGGGCATGCCCAGAGGCAATCAGGGTTTCTGTTAAGATAGTGACAGCTGGCCGGGCATTGGGGGATGCACGCCTTTAATCCCAGCACTTGGGAGGCAGAGACAGGCAGATCTCTGTGAGTTCGAGGCCAGCCTGGTCTACAGAGTGAGTTCCAGGACAGCCTCCAAAACAATACAGAAACCCTGTCTCGAAAAACAAAAAACAAACAAACAAAAAAAAGATAGTGAAGATAGTGACAACTTCAGTCTGCTAGGAGGGTCATGTACCAGAAAATGGTGTCCTGGCACTTCCTGATGCAGAGAGAACAACCAGTGTGGACTCCTGGTGGAAAGAAACATTAATCGGAAAGATGGAAACTTCCTTTGCAGCTGGGGACCCTAGCACTGTGCTTTCCTGTAGGGAGTAGGCCCTGGACTCCAGGGTATGGCTGAGTCTCAACTCTGTGTTCTCTTCAAGACAGAAGTAGGGCTTCTCTGGTGCCCAGCTGAAGAGGAGAAAATTAACGAGCAACCACTTTTTTGTTTTGTTTTGTTTTGTTTTTCGAGACAGGGTTTCTCTGTATTGTTTTGGAGGCTGTCCTGGAACTCGCTCTGTAGACCAGGCTGGCCTCGAACTCACAGAGATCCAACTGCCTCTGCCTCCCGAGTGCTGGGATTAAAGGCGTGCACCACCAACACCCAGCTAGCAACCACTTCTTGAGCAGTTCATTTTTGCAGACACTATAAGTGTTACAGCTCTCAGGGGAAAGGTATCCTTGAAGTTGGGATTCAGGGAATGACACAAAGTCACACTGCACAACAACCACACAGATTTATTGGGAAAGACACAAGAGGGTGGTGGCCTCTGCTCAGGAAAGAAGCAGGGGAAAAACTGGGCAGGAGGCAGGCTTTATATAGGGTTTCTGGGGTGGGGATGGAGTTTTCCAGGATGAAGATTTCCAGGGTAAGGATTGGTGGGTTTTCAAGTTATAGGTTTGGGCTTTTTACTCTGCAGGGCAGAGCTTGGTCTCCTGTGCCTCAAGGGGCAGAGTCTATCTATTTTGCCTATTAGAGTGTTCTGTGGGATGACCATGGTGTTGGAGTTCCTAAGGGACGGGACTTAGTCTTACATTCTCCCATTTTTTTGTTTACTGTTGATAAATGGCCAGGGGGGGATGATGTTATCATTATACTATTTCTTGTTGAATAGGGCAAGTTTGTTCTTCACTGTCAAGATATAATCTGGAGTTGCAGGCCTCTAGCTCCATAGCTAAAGTTCAGAAATCCTGTAATAGCAACTAATTAAAAGTCTGGTTAAAGTACGGGGTGTTGGTGGCACACGCCTTTAATCCCAGCACTCAGGAGGCAGAGGCAGGCGGATCTCTGTGAGTTCAAGGCCAGCCTGGTCTACAGAGCAAGTTCCAGAACAGCTTCCAAAACAATACAGAGAAACCCTGTCTCGAAAAAACAAAAATTTAAAAAATGAAAGTATGAGATGAGTAGCAATAGTCCCCATTGGGAATTGTCTGTCCCTTTGCTTTTCTCTCCTTTTTCTGTCACATAGTCAGGTGGATCACCTCATGTAGGGGGGGAGACCTTCAAACAGGCAGGCTTGGATCTAGATGAGGAGGAGCCATACCCCAACTCCAGAACCAGCTTTTAATTCAAGTGCAATAGCATGAAGCAATGGTCTAACGACACCTAAAAGACATGTGAATTCTCATAGAACTGAATTTAGTAAACTAAGAACAAAGAAGGCTTAGAGATGGGAAATTTTTGAGCCCTGGCTACAGACGGAGGGCACGCCAGGGAGAGCAGAGGCGAGCTCCGGCCAGTGAGGACTGTGCTGGGTCTGCATGTGTTGCAGCCTGCCTGCTCCTTTGCTTTCTCCCTGCCTGATGGGTCCTGCTCCCAGCTCCCACTTTGCAACAAACTTACAGATTCATGGAACATAACTTAAAAAGACACAATATTGCAGGGCGTTGGTGGCACACTCCTTTAATCCCAGCACTCAGGAGGCAGAGGCAGAAGCAGGTGGATCTCTGAGTTGGAACGCAGCCTGGTCTACAGAGCAAGTTCCAGGACAGCCTCCAAAGCTACACAGAGAAACTCTGTCTCAAAAACCCAAAAATAAAAAAAATAAAAAAACAGGATATTTACACAGTGAGGGAGGGAGACCAGACAAAAACAAATGACTTGGAGTGAAGAAAAAAGAGAATACGAACATAGGGAATGGGGAATCTCTTCACATTTCCCCAATAGCTCACAGTTCTTGTCAAAGTCCCGAATAATATCGGAATCTAAGGTGCTGTTAGGTGGCCATTTGGATTAGTTATCTAAGGTTATATTGAGGGCAAGTTTGATTGTAAGGGCAAACAAGTTTAGGGCCCTTCAGGTTGGGTGCCAGGTATTCAGGCTGGAGGTTTTCTAAAAGACATTCCAAAAGAGAATGAGAGGGTATGGAACGCACTGTTCCCATGGATGAGCAAGGGGACAGGGAAAAAAAATGTCACTGCAGCCTGTAGTCAAGGGCATGGACCACAAGGAGGACCGATCTCTAAGGGAGATGATGGGTGCAGAGGGACTGCAGGTGTAACTGATTGGGGAGTGGAATAGTGTTAGGAAATGGGGACGGCCATTGGTAGACTGCACAGACTTCAGGACTTGAAAGCCCACATGGCTCCATACAGTTGCACAATCTCCCATGATTTAACCGCTCTCTAATAAAGGACGGCTGAAATGGTCAAGAGCAGAACCTTTGGGAAGGTTTAAAAGAGTAGAATTCCTAAGACTGTTAGGTATCTATGCCACATTCTCTCTGACTCATCTTCTCCAATGCTAGCACACATGACCAGTGTGGTGGGGACAAGAGCGGCAGGGACGCTGGGAGGAACCTTCTGGATCAGAATGGTGGAGACGTGGCTTTGCTTTGAGAAAATCTTCCTAACCTGGACTTAAAAGTCCATTCAACTAAGCCGGGCGTTGGTGGCGCACGCCTTTAATCCCAGCACTTGGGAGGCAGAGGCAGGCGGATCTCTGTGAGTTTGAGGTCAGCCTGGTCTACAGAGTGAGTTCCAGGACAGCCTCCAAAGCCACAGAGAAACCCTGTCTCAAAAAACCAAAAAAAAAAAAAAAATCCATTCAACTAGTGGGGAGTTGTCAATGACAAATGAATTCCTTGACACTGTCAATAAAATAGGATCTAACTATTTTTTTGTTTGTTTGGGTTTTTGTTGTTTTTCAAGACAGGGTTTCTCTGTGGCTTTGGAGGCTGTCCTGGAACTCGCTCTTGAAGACCAGGCTGGCCTCGAACTCACAGAGATCCACCTGACTCTGCCTCCCAAGTGCTGGGACTAAAGGTGTGCGCCACCAACGCCCAGCCAGTATCTAACTCTTATCTACAGAAAGTTAAAAAATGGTGTTGTTTTGTTTGCCCACTGAATGACTTACACTTTGGTAAAGCACATGGTGAAGGTACTGAGCCTCGGGCCACTATCCATGACAATTCCATGTTGTCACCCCTTTTGACATTCACATTTCTTTTTGAGACAGGGTCTTTGTAGACCAGGCTGGCCTTGGACTCAGAGATCCATCTGCCTCAGCCTCCTCAGTGCTGGGATCAAAGGCATGTGCCAGCATGCCCAGATTCCTTTTTGTTTACTTCATGTGTATGCATGTTTGCCTGCATGTATGTCTGCGAGCCACTGTGTGCCTGGTGCCTGAGTCAGAAGAGGCCATCGCAGCCCTTGGAAATGGAGTTACAGGTGGTTGGGAGCCACCACGTGGGCGCTGGAAGCTAAACCCATGTCCTCTAACAGCTGAACCATCTCTCCAGCCCATTACTCCCCTTTGCTATTCATCTGGTAATGAGCCGCTGGTGATTAGCTTTCTGAGTGCCAAAACGGTGCCCCAATCCGCAGGTACTTAGCGATTCCTTGCAAATCTCACTGTGGTGAGGTGGTGTGGAAGAGACACGGGGGAAATAAGAGCAGTCTCCTGTCCTTAAAGAGCACTCGAGCCGGGCGGTGGTGGCGCACGCCTTTAATCCCAGCACTCGGGAGGCAGAGGCAGGCGGATCTCTGTGAGTTCGAGGCCAGGCTGGACCGACAGCCTCCAAAACAATACAGAGAAACCCTGTCTCGAAAAAAAAAAAAAAAAGAGCAATCGACCTAGTTAAGGGAGCAAAGGTTAACGTCTGCGGAGTCGCCTTCCGGGGCTGTCAGACACGGGCAATGGCACCGTCCTCGACTATAGCGTAAGTGACAGCACTGCGGCACTGTGAGCACGTCCCCAAGGCGAATACAAGGGAGCTGAGATGAAAACACAGCACGTCTGGTTTCAGGCAGTCACACCGGTGCTACTGCCCACGGTCACCGCGCTACCACTGTAAATCTCGCAGAGCCCTCTAGGGAAACCCACATCCTCAAGGCGTGACGAGGAAGCCGAGGCACACAAAGGATCAAGGGATCACGGAGCCGGACACACCGTTTATTCCCGAAAACCCCGAATGCGAGCCCGGCGGCTTCTCTCCAGCCTCCGCGTAAACAAAACAGGCGCCGGCGCTCTGCTCGCCCAGTCCGTGCCGGAAGTGCAGGTGCATTGTGGGAAGCGGCCCGGTTGGAGACGGCAGCCTAACTGAAAAGGGCTGGAACTTAATGGCTGTCATCCACTCTCGAAAGCTTGAAACGGGTGCGAAGGAAGCTGGGAGTTCAGGCCAGCAAGACCATTTCTCGGAAGTTCACAGTCGCTCAGGCGTCGCAGGCCGCCCGGGTCCTCCAGAGTGAGCGAGAGCGGCGTCTCTATGGTCAAGAAGATATAGAGCGGCCCTCTCTTGTCCGCAGGTGAGACTGCGCATGTGCAGAAGCTGCGCACCGGAACGATGGCGGAGGAAGGGTGAGTTTTGGGTCCTTGGAACTGTCGCTCGGGGCTCTGCGTATCCGCCGCCATCCTTGCTGTTTACGCTGTGGCGGGACAGCGGGATGCCTGTGCGTTGTGGGAGGAGAGACGAGGCTCGCGTTGCTCTGTAGCGGTGGGGGCTGGGCTAGCGGGCGCCGCCACCAGGTTCGGGCGGGAGAGCGGCGGGAGGGTGCCCGAGGCGGGTTCGCAGCGTGGCTGTCGTAAACGTGTTTTCCGCGGGTTCCTACATACGTGTGGAGTGCTGTGATCGTTACTCTCTAACATTCTCCCTTGTCCCTCCTACCCCAAGCAAGTCTCCCGCTTTCAAGTCTCCCCGCTGTCCCGCCCTGGCTCGGCCTGAATCATTCTCCTTGGTGGCTCTAACTGCCCCAAACCCTCCCGGACTGCGAGAATTTCCTCGCCGTTAGTGTCTGCAAACCCAGGCACCTAAGGCTTTCGGGGACCCGTGAGCTGTGCGGGTCTATGGTGGAGGCGGATCAGAACCATAGGTTTCCGGGGAAATCTCCCAACGACTGACCTGTGCCCGGAAAACCAGGATCCTGCCTTGGCTTGGAAAGCCATTGAATGTGCGTTTCGCAGTTTTCCTTGATGTCAGTTTTCCTTTACCAGGGAAAGGAAAAAGATCCCTTTGGTTCCAGAAAATCTCCTGAAAAAGAGGAAGGCTTACCAGGCTCTCAAAGCCACCCAAGCAAAGCAGGCACTTTTGGCAAAGAGGGAGGTAATTCTGGTGTGTGGGGGTGGGCACGGGATATTGGGGGTTGCCGTGGATGAGTTTTATGGAGCGTATGTTGAACTAGAGTGTTATCATCAGATAATACCCCCCACCCCGCTTGTCCCCCTAAACGGTGTAGTACAGGTCTCAATTTAGCAAAGATCTACCCAACATCTTTCTGTGAGAAAAATGCTGTTGGAAATCTGTTACTTTGAGGCCAGCCTGGTCACGTGGATTTTTCAAGCCAGGCAGAGATAAACAAATTTTCTTCTGCTAAATTTGGTCTTTAGTTAATTTGAATTCATAAAGTCTTCGGTTTTTCCCTTAAATGATATTCCAGCATTTTTCTCACAGAAAAACTCCATGGTTAATTTTCTCCTGATCCGTGTTCCATCGCTATCGAATGTCAGCTAACTTAAGCAAAAGGACACCAAGAAGAAGTGCTTTCCCCTGGCCTTCAATCCCAGAGCTGGGAGTCTAGCAGAGGCAGGTGGAGCTCTGTGAGTTTGAGGTCAGCCTGCCCCCCTCCAAAAGAAGAGAAGTCAACACTTCCACCACCACATAAGGAAACATGAGGGACATTATGAAGAAAAGCTCGTGGTGAATTAGCTTATATGTTGGTAAAACTAGTACAAGTGTTTATGAAACACAACACCATATTAGGCACCATTAAATACAAGAAGCTTTTGTCCTCAAAAACTGTATAAACAAGCCGGGCGTTGGTGGCACACGCCTTTAATCCCAGCACTCGGGAGGCAGAGGCAGGCGGATCTCTGAGTTCTAGGCCAGCCTGGTCTACAAGAGCTAGTTCCAGGACAGCCTCCAAAGCCACAGAGAAACCCTGTCTCGAAAAACCAAAAAAAAAAAAAAAAAAACTGTATAAACTGCACAATCCAAACACACATCATTGCAAACAAAAATTAAAAATGGCTGCATACTTTGATTTGAGACAGGTTCTCATTATACAGCCCAAGCTGACCTTCAACTCGCCATGCTCCTGCCTCAGCCCTCCAGAATGCTGGAGTTACACTAGTGTACCAGAGTTGGCAATTTAGTCCCAGCACTCTGGAGACCGAGTTTATTAAGAGGGGGAGGAGAGAGAGAGACAAGGGAGAGAGGGGACCAGAGAAAGAGCGTAAGTGGGCGGGGTCTCTTAAAGGGGTCCTTTGCACCTTCGTGCAGGCTATGTATTCACGGAACCCTGGGCTGACCAGGGCACTGCCTGAGTGCATTCTGCCAGGTGACAGGGGCAGGCCATCGTAGTGCCTGAATCTTTACCCTTGGCTCTTGACTTGATTGTGGAAGAGATGGAGATGTCTGTTTTCTGTCTTAGAGGAAATCAAAAGAATTCAGGTTTAAGCGACTGGAATCATTTGTACGTGATTCCTGGCGGCAGCGGCGTGACGATGTGCGGGTCCGGCGACTACAAGTGAAGCCTCGTGCATTGGAAGTGCCTGATAAACACTCCTTGGCCTTCGTTGTGCGCATAGAGAGGTAGAGTCCCCGAGATGGGAACTGTTGGTCCATGTCTAGATGTCTGTAGGGAGATAGGTGAAGTAAGGTCAGTCCATGTGGGGGCCTTCAGTGTTGTTCAGGGGCATATCCTGGCGATACAGGACACAGGAAGCAGTGCCCATCAAAAACAGCCGTGCTCCTCCTGATGTAAGAGCTGCAGTTTAAATGTGTATGAGCTCTGCCCTCCTAGGTCTTCTGCCACTGCCCATAATCTTTCCTGGTTGAATTTCCCTGCTTGTGAAGTCGGTCTCCACTCTAGCCTGTAGGCAGTAGTCAGAGAAGTCTGAACATGTTCCTTGCTTTTCCACCCACCCACTGAAGTGATTCAGCTTCCTCGAGTAGACATACATAATCCTAGCCTGCCCTCTCACCCCCCAATCCGTCGTTTAGACTGTGTCTCTAGCATCCAGGGATTGCTCCACATAATGGGAAAATGATCAGTTTTCAAGCTGCCTTCCACTACAATGAACTCTAAGGTGAACTCTGTGTAGCCAGCAACAGTCATACATCTCTGAATTGCTTGCCAAACAGACAGACTGTCGTAGACTGGAGTCAGATGCTGACAGCTGTTCTTTTCAGGACAGAAGGAGTGAGTTTATTGGTACAGAAGACCATAGCAAAACTTCGCCTGAAGAAATTGTTCAGTGGTGTCTTTGTCCTTGTCACCCCTCAAAGTGTGAAGATGCTGCGCACAGTGGAGCCATATGTGACCTGGGGGTGAGTACAGCTTTCCATGTGAATTGCCTTCTGCTTGGAGTGCTTAAGACACACAGGGGCCTGTTTTCCAAGATTCACGTTGTATTGGGCATCTTGCTGTGGCCAGTCACCAGAAATAAAGACCCTTGGGGTGTGAGGAAGAGCAGTGGCGCTGGGAATGGTCCTAGCAGATCATGTTGGGCTTCCTCATTTGTAGGTTGAAACTATGTAAAATGAATGACAGTAACACCTGAAACCAAAATGATGACAGTGTTTGGATGACAGTAGTGGTCTTTGTTGGGTGGTGGCCCACATCTATAATCCCAGCATTTGGACGCCTAAGGCCAGGGAGTTTGTGTGGATTCCAGGTCAACCTGGAACAAAACAAAACTAGAACGTGGTGCCTGAGGCCTATAATCCCTTTGCACCAAAGGCTAAGGTAGGAGGATTACTACAAGTTTGAGGCCAGTGTAGGCTACAAGATTAAGACCTGGTCTCAAAAAAAAAATCTGAATTTCTAATTATACTTCAGGCCCACTCAGGGATTTTCAGTTGGCTAGTGGAAGGGTTTGCTTTTAGTTTGAGTATTTTTAGTTTTAGTGTTGCTGGGCAACCCAAGCTCACTTCAAAGTCACTGTGCAGTCCAGGGTCCTCCAGCCTCAGCCTCAGGTACTGGAATTGCAGGCGTGAGCCTCAGTGCCTGGTAGTCTCTCCTGTTCCTCATCGTCCTCATCAGTTGTGGCTCCCCAATCCAGTGGTTGTGGGGTGGGGCTTTTCCTCTTCCCAGGGTAACGCAAGGCATTGTATTATGCCTTTCGCAGATTTCCAAATCTGAAGTCTGTCCGGGAGCTCATCTTGAAACGTGGCCAAGCCAAGATTAACAATAAGACTGTCCCTCTGACAGACAACACAGTGATTGAGGAGCACCTGGGTGAGTGCTGCTGGGGGTCACTTGGGGTAGAAAGTGGGGTGTTGGTAGCTGTGATTTGGGATCCGGGGCCTTACAGTCCCAGCTTTGTCGTGGGAGTGCTTGCTGGATAATGGTGAGCAAAGGAATCTGCACCTGTGTTTCTCAGGGAGATTTGGTGTCATTTGCCTGGAAGACCTCATCCATGAAATTGCCTTTCCGGGGGAGCATTTCCAGAAGATCTCTTCGTTCCTGTGCCCTTTCCACCTCTCTGTGGCCCGTCATGCCACCAAGAATAGGGTGGGGTTCCGCAAGGAGATGGGCTCTCCTGGCTACCGGGGCGAACGCATCAATCAGCTCATCCGCCAGCTGAACTAGAGGGGGCCAGGTGAGACTGCTGTGGGCTGTTCGCCCTCCCTCCTTCTCTCCCTCCCTCCCTCCCTCTCTCTCTCTCCCTCTCCCTCTCTCTCCTGGGGTATGTGGAGGTCAGGGACAGCGTGGGGTGGAGGTTGGTTTTCTCCCCCCTGTATTGGTTCCAAGGACCAAAGTTGAGTACTTTGTCCTGGTGGCAAAAAAGCCTTTCTTGCTGAGCCATCCTGTCAACCCCTGGTCTGACTTTGATGGCCCATCATGCTTGTCAATTAAAAGTCCCCTGTGAGCTGCAGGTATAGTTAGTGGGCCAGGAATAGCTGTGGGTGCAAGTTCTTGGTCCCTAGCATCCCTGTAAGGCAAGTTCCTCCTGTGTGTGCCAATACTTGAGAGTTGGGCTAAGATAGGAACGAGCCAGGTAGTAGTTGTGCATACCTTTAATCCAAGCACTGGGGAGGCAGAAGGAGGTGGATCTCCGTGAATTCGAGACCAGCCTGGTCTACAGAGCTAAGACAGCCAGAGCTACACAGAAACCCTGTCTCAAAAATTGGACCAGCAGCAGGGTCAGGACATGAGGCTGTGAATGTTAGGTTACAAGCTAGAAGAAAATTTCTGTGTTGCCGTGGACATTTAGCCTGCAGTGGAGAAGAAATCACATCAAAACTAATTTTAGAAAGAATTTGAAGCCAGGTGGTGGTAGTGCACTCTTTTAATCCCAGTCTGGTCTTCAGAGTGAGTTCCAGGCAGGCTCCAGAAGCTACGCATAGAAACCCTGTCTCAAAGAGGAAAAAAGCATTTGCAGACGAGTTTCCTGCTTCTTGCCCTGAGGTACTTTGTGTTGCTGTGTGGTGGATCGCTTGTGTTGACACAGTTGTGTTCTTCCTTAGGATCTCCACAGGCACAGTGCACTGGAAGAGTGCTTTCTGTTATTTAAAATTATCAAGTATCTTCAGAGAAGATTGTTTTCTGCCTTCAGCACCTGGAAGGAAGAGGCCGGAGAGACGACAGTAGGGTGTGAGCATTGCAAACCTCAGCACAGCCCAGTTCCATGGAAAAGGACTTCATTCTCTACAGTGGCTGCCCCTGCCTCCAAAACCAATGCAGACCATGGAGGAAAGAGTTGCCCTGCTTTGTCCTATATAGTATCTTGGTGTCTAATGTTGGATGGGCAAGTAATCCAAACATCCCTCCCACCCCTTCCAGGACTAAAGCAATGGACCTGACCCAGGGGGATACTTGAACCTGGAAGAAAAGTGTCTTTTTTTTTTTTTTTTTTTTTTTGTGGTTTTTCGAGACAGGGTCCTGGAACTCGCTCTTGAAGACCAGGCTGGCCTCGAACTCACAGAGATCCACCTGACTCTGCCTCCCAAGTGCTGGGATTAAAGGCGTGCGCCACCAACGCCCGGCTTGAAAAGTGTCTTATATTTGTCATCGCAGGTGACTTTTGTTTGTTTAGAACAGCATGTCACTGGGTAACCCTGACTGGTCTTAACTCTATAGCAGTCTTCCTAAGAGCTGAGATTACAGGTGGTGTGTGCACCCCAGCCTGGGGGCCCGTTCCTCAGACATGAGATGCAGTCAGGAAGGTGACAAAAGCTTGGTTTTGTGCTAGGGGACCATGTTGCAGCGTCTGTCAGCTTTGGTCAGGCTTGCCTGCCCTGAGTCAGTGTGGTGGCCTTTGTACTCTGACCCGCAGTTTAAGACGGGGCTGTCTGCACTAGAAGAGACACACACTCATACATGCACTCCACTGTGATTGTCACTCTGTGGTGGTGACGCACACCCTCTTGACACCCGTACTGCTTATGTGAGGACATTCTGTACCAGAGGAGACAAGGTTTAGTCTTGGTTGTTTCCTGCTCAGTGATAAGGGAGGCAAAGGATGGCAGATCTCAGTGGGTCAACCAGGGTTGTTAAACCCTGTCTCAAAAATAAGTAAAAGTTAGAGATAAACTGGGCCCAGTGTTTGGAGGCAGAGGCAGCGGTACTCCTGAGTTCAAGGCCACCCTGCTCTGCAGAGTTTTAGAACACCCAAGGCCACACACAGAGAAACTGCTTTGAAACAAAAATATACCCGGGAAATGCCCACTAAATTTCCCCCTGGGTTTCAGGATGGCCTTAGAAATTCTCCTATCAGCCTTGCTGTAAACTCACACCAGGGGTCCACATTCTTAACTATTGTTTCCCTTGAATATGAGTCAGGGCCAGCACTGGGAACACATGTGCTCAGGAGGTAGATTTCTATGAGTTCAAGGCCAGCCTGGTCTATAGAGGTCAGACAGAACTAATAAGACCCTGTCTCAAGAAAAAAAAATAAAAATTAACAGTGCCTCAGAACATGCAGGTTACAAGGTGAGTGGGTTCCAGAATCTGCCAGAGGTCAATGTCACTGCTGTCAAGAGCATTAAGTGGCCAAAATGGCTTTGCAGGCATGGAGGAACGCTCATGGGTATTGTGCTGAATGAGGGAAGAGTATGCAGTGTGAGACCCTGTGACCTGAGGGAGGGGAGCATGGCCCCACTTTCTGGTCTGCAAAGTGCGGCATATAAGATCTGTGGTGTGTGAGTGCAATCCAAAGCAGCCAGAAGGAAGTGGTTCCCTGGAGCTGGAGTTACACGGGCAAAGTGAAGGCCTGCAGGTACCGGAAAGCCCAGGTCCTCTGTAAAAGAACCAAGTTCCTTAACAGATGGTCACTTAAGTTGTGTTCACACTGTGTGATGGTGCTCGCCAAGTAGCTGGGTCTCCCTGAGTTCAGGGCTGCCTTGGTTTATACACCAAGTTGGTCAGCCAGGGTTACATGCCTCCAAAAAAAAAAAAATTAGTGGGACTATGCTGCTGGGAAGCCACTAGACTATATGGGTGGGCTTCATGACTGCTAACACGCTCCATTTGGGTTTTAGTTTTAGAAAGTAAGGGGAGATGCAGTGAGCTACTGGGCCTGTTTGACAGACTTTGGAAGCCCAGCTCACTCCTTTAACCCCAGCACGCAGGAGGCCGAGGCTGGCAGATACTGAGTTCAAGGCCAGTCAGGGCTATGTAGAGAGACCCAGTTGCAGGGAGCCCAAGCCTAGCTCAGTGGCCAAGGCCTTTTCAGCCAGCCCCACCGACTGACAACAGTGTTGAGGGGGCTGGGGTGGGGCGCGGTGGCGCTGTGAGCCTCAGCACCCACGTGGCAGCTGACAGCTCCAGGTGTCTTAAGTCCTGTTCCAGCCTTGGGGTGACTCAGTAGGTAAGGCAACCGCTGCCAGGCCAAGAGCTTGATCCTGGGACCTACGTGGTGGGAGGAGCAGGTTCCAAGAGCCAGCATTTCTAGGGCTGTTGTCATTCAACTTCAAAAAAAAATGGGGAGTTTACAGAGGCCAGCCTGGTCTACGGAGTGAGTTCCTGGTTGGCCAGAGCTACGCAGAGAAACCCTGTTCCGGAAATCAAATAGATAAAATACGGGTTTCACTTGCATCATTCCAGAACCGAGTTCTGTCAAACCCAAATGACTGCAAAATTAGTAATGACTTGGCTCTCCTGTTCACTTTATCAGTATCATCGGGAGAAGGTGGCCCAGGAAGTCATGCCCCGTTAATGCGGCAAATGAAACGCTGCGAGTGGTAAAATAGACCTGTTTCACTTACACAGACAGGTTACAACACGGTATGAAGTTGAAATTCAGCGTCCAACCCCGAAATTCTTGGGCAACATTTTTGTCTCCCGGGAGGATTGGGTCTGGTTGAGACAGGTCTGAGCAGATACAGAAAGATGAGTAAAGGTGGCAGCTGTCCAGCCCCTCAGGTTCATGCTGGACCCAGTCACTCACTCCGGATCACAGCTGCAAAAACCCTCGAGCTCAGGAACCCGCTGGGCCTCCGCCGAGCTGGGCTGCTGGCCGGCTCCGGGCTGGCTCCTCGACGGTCGGGGACTGCGTGCGCGCGTCTGGGGCGGTGGTGCGGGATGAGGCGGCCGAGCCTGCGTCCTCCCAGGGCTTGGGCCTCCGGGGGAGCAGCGACGCCGTGGGTTCGCCGTGGGTCACTGTGATGTGACGTTTCTCTAGACCCGGGAGCTCCTGGCCCTTCTGGACCAGCTGCAGGAGCTGCGCCAGGGTCACCGAGGCCGCAGCCGGCCCAGCGGATGCTCCACTCGGACTGCTCACACGATCTCGCAGCTCCATGTCCCGCCACCAGTCCGCTCCCGGGACCCGACCACAAGCACTTCCGGGCGGTGTGGGAGCAACCACCTTCTCGGAAAGAAGAGGGGAGGCCTCAAACCGTACCAAGTGGTCTAGCCCAGGCTAGATCTCCAGAACCCGAGCTGTTCTGCCAAAACTGCAGGCGCGGTCAACGCCCCGGCTCTCGTCCCACAAAATGGGATGTGCTTAGAAGGAATTAAAAAAAAAAAAGAACGAGTCAAAAACTGAAGTTTGTGCCCATTGGGACAAGTGTGTTGAAGCGAGACTGCGAAAACACACTTGGCTTCTGCGCGCGCGCAGGCTGCCGCAGGCCTTGCTGAGTCTGTTTTTGAGACCGTGCCTCGCTCTGTTCCAGGCTGCGATTCTGTCTGCTTCTCCCGAGCGCGCATTCTCTTCACGTTTCTTTTGTTAATTGCGGTACTAAGGATCAAATTCCAGGGTTTTGTTTGTTTGTTGTTGTTTGTTTCTGCTGGCGTTTGGGTGTTTGTTGCCTGTTTTGGTTTTGAGACAAGGGCTCTCACCATCTCCCACAGTGTCTGCTGAGCTACACATCCTGGCTCCGATGTTCAGGTTTCTGAAATTATCAAAGCTAGCCTGATAATTTCAGGCCGCCCATGCCTGTATTGCTGTATGGTGGGATCATGGAGCCATTCTGGGCACATTCTGAAAGAGGTAAATAAATAATAGACTGATCAGGTACACCCAGAAACCAATAAGTAACGCGTAGTTGGAGTAATTTTAAAAGGTCACATGTTTACCCCTCACAGCAAGCAACCCTATGAAACTCACTAGGGGAAAAAAAAGTGGGTGAGATGGCTCAGCAGGGAGGACCGTGCGACTTTATCACCTGCCCAAGATTTGTGTGGCCAAGGTTGGCCTTGAACTCACAATATAGTCTTGCTTTTTTTTTTCTTTTGGTTTTTCGAGACAGGGTTTCTCTGTGGTTTTGGAGGCTGTCCTGGAACTCACTCTGTAGACCAGGCTGGTCTCGAACTCACAGAGATCCGCCTGCCTCTGCCTCCCGAGTGCTGGGATTAAAGGCGTGCGCCACCAGCGCCCGGCTTGATTTTTTTGTTTGTGTGGGTGTGTGGTGTGAAGACACACAATGTGTTTACATGGGAAGGTGGATGTCAGGATTATTCTAGATTATTCTTCCACTTTAATGGTGTAGGGCCTCTCACTCAAACCCAGAATTTGCTGATATAGTTAGTCTCTTTAGCCAGTTTACTCTGGGGATCCCATGTCTTGGGGTTTCTATTGTTTCAGCGAAACACCATTACTGAAACTCAAGTTGTGGAAGAAAGGGTTTCTTCAGCTTACACTTCAGCATTGCTGTTCATCACTGAAGGAAGTCAGGACAGGAACTCAAGCAGAGCAGGATCCCAGAGGCTGGAGCTGATGCAGAGGACACTGCTTACTGGCTCCTTTTCCCTGAATTGCTCAGCCTGCTTTCCTACAGAACCCAGGGCTACCGGCCCAGAGATGGCACCACCCACCTGGGCCCTCCCCCATGGAGCACTAAATGAGACAACGCCTTCCATCTGAATCTCATGGAGGCATTTCCTCTGATGACTCTAGCTTATGTCAAGTTGACACACAAAACCAGCCAGGTAGTAGTCAGGCATCTGTACTGGCCTGTCCTTGCAGGCCTGACAGGGTCTACCTTCAGCTGTAGCCACTAAGAGCATATTCACTACATTGTTCCCTTTTAAAGGGGCCCTCCTACCTCCCATCCTCCTATCTTTCCCTCTCCCTCCCTCCCTCCCTCCCTCCCTCTCTGTCTCTGTCTCTCTCTCCTCATCCTCTCTATTTCTCTCTCCCTTCTTCCCTCCCTCCCTCTCTCCCCTCCCTCCATCCCTCCCCTATCCTCTCTGTTTCTCTCCCCCCCTTCCTCTTTTTAGGAACCCTTCCCCTAATAAAAACCCTTCCTCTTGAACTCAATGTTGCTTGGCACCTTTCTCGTGCTGCTTTTTTTAAAATCATATTACCCTGTCTCTGCCTTCAAAGGGTAGAACTGCAGGCGGCTCACCACACCCTCCTGGAACATGGCTCCCAATTGGACCCTCACACATGCATGGCAGGTGATCTAACTGCTGACATCTCTCAGCCCCAGCTTGGAACTTGTGGCTATCTGCCTCCATGTCCCCAGAGCAGAGATTACGGTGTGCACCACCACGTCCAGTTTTGTGTGGTTCTGGGAACCAAACACAAGACTTGGCATTTGCCAAGCACTTCGCCAGCTGAGCTCTGTCTCTAGCCCCTTGTGCACACCCTGCTTTATGCAATGCTCGCCCTTAGACTTCCCATATTGTAGAACTGTGGCAATAACTTTTCTTTTTCGTTTTGGAACTGAGGGTCAAACCCTGGCCTTGCTCATTCTGGGCAAGCATTCTATCACTGAGGTGTATCCTCATCACAATTTGTTTTCCTTATAAATTACCCAGTCTGCGATATTCTCTCACAGCATAAACAGGGATTTCTATTACTATAAACAGAAGGCATCTCCATGTAAGCATTGGTGGGGAATGAGGCTGTGCACACGTCTACATGTACACTTTACATAAATAATATAGTGTGGCATGTGATATGCTATGATATCCTTGTGACCTGCCAGGTGAAATGAGGACTCCATGTGTTATGACTTTTAAGTGTATTTGATCACAGCCCGGGTCCAATTCCCACCTCGGCACTGTGAAACTCTGGGGCCAATTGTTTTACTTATTTCAGCTTCAGACTTTTTCTGCCATCCCATGGCCCTGCTTCCAGGAAGCCCCTGCTGATGAGCTAGGGTCACAAGGGTCACATGGGATGAAGACAAGTATCTTTTTAATTTTTCACTTTATTTCATTTTATGTGCACCTAAGGCCATGCACCTCATCCATGCAGAGCCCTAAAACGCCAGGAGAGAGCAGCAGAGCCCTTGGTTGTGAGCCACCATGTGGGTGCTGGGAATTGAACTCTGGTCTTCTGGAAGGCCCTCTTTCCATCTTAGTCCCCCCAACTTCCCAGATCCAATACACTCACTTGATTCAGGAGTTCCCTTGCCTTCTGGTTTGGGGGTCTGGCCAAGAGGAGGAAGAGAGCAGCAGGAAGAGAAGGGTATCAACAGATTTCTTTCTGATCCCCGTCTTCCGGAGGAGCAGGGTGGCTGCAGTCCCTCCACACAGAGCTCTAATTTGAGGGCTCTGACACTGTCCCTTCTGAGTCCCTCATGTGCTACATTTCTTCCTGGAGTCCCTTGTCCTTGCCCACACCTCTGTCAATGGACTCTACTAAGTTCTCCTTAGATTTTCCAGTGTCTGTCCTTGCATCGCCATTTCCTGGCCTGGAACTCTCCAGATCTTCTAGGGCAGATCTGAAACGGGGTTAGGGGAGGCAGTCACCTCCCACATTTCAGAAGGGGACAGGCATGTAACCGGTGACTCCCTTGTGAGGAAAGCGGGGACAGGTGGTGTGCCTGCTTCTGCATAGCCATGGTGCTTGTTCTGGTGTTCAGAGGGGACACACAAGGGGGTCCCCAGCATCTGCTGGGATGTATGTACAAGAGGTCTTGATGGCAGCTTGGAATGGCACCTGGCTGAAGACTGGCCTTGAGATCACCAAGCTCCAGCATCAATTAAATGCTCAGCCCTGCCAGATAGCCCCTGACAGTTCTTTTTATGGGATCTCATTGTATAGCCCAGGAAGTCCTTGAACTCACCATCCTCCTATCTGAGTCTCGAGTCCTGGGATTCTGGCATGAACTCTCATAACTGGCCTTCCAGATCTCATTTGCAAAAGTAAGAAAGGTAAGAGTTACTGAGGGCAAGGATCTTGAGATGGGTCAGAGACCTTACATATCTGTATCTACATATCACCATTTATATTATCAGTGGCAAAGACAAGACAGACCCTACCTACACCAACCAGGTGGATAGCAAGAACTAATCCTGGTTGTAAGTTGTCCTGTGATTTCCACACATGCGTTGTCATATGCATATGTACATACACACATACATACATACACACACATACATGCATACACAACACATACATACGCACACACATACACAGATAAATAACCTCAGATGGAGGTATATCTGAGTTAATAGAGCTTCAGTGTACATGAGCTCTATCCCTGACACCACATAAAACCAGGCACAATGGTGTCTTCCTGCAATTCCAGCACTTGGGAGATGGTGGCAGGAGGGTCAGAAGTTCAAGTGACAGGGCAGACTGGACTCCATGGGAGCCTGTCTCAGAAAGGCGGGGAGAGGAGAGGAGCAGGAAGAACATAGGGTCCTTGGAATTCATTCCCATGGATGCCCATCCAAGATTTGGGATTTGAAATGTTGGCTCCAGCACCTGGGAGGGGCACTAATGGTCTGTTTGGTTCATCAAAGCCATAACAATTTAATAGCAGCCCATAGTTAGAACGACTGAAATCTTGAATGTCCCTGGCATCCTGTAGAAGGACTGAGAATGTTTTTATTTCTTTATTACTTATTTATTTTTGACACAGAGTTTCTCTGTGGCTTTGGAGGCTGTCCTGGGACTAGTTTTTGTAGACCAGGCTGACCTCAAACTCACAGAGATCCTCCTGCCTCTGCCTCCCAAGTGCTAGGATTAAAGGCGTGCGCCACCACCGCCCTGGACTCAGAACGTTTTGGAGAAGAGAATGCCAGACTGGGATTTCCATGTGAACTTCAGTCACCCTAGCCCCCCATTGAAAGGGTCCAGAAGACATTCCCCAAACTAAATCATCAAGAAATGTAGCTATGAGACACGTGTGGTGACTCACACTTGTAACCCTAGAACGTGGGAGGTTGAGGCAGGAGTCGAAGGCCAGCCTGGGCTACATAACAAGATGTTTCAAGTTGTGGGGGGTGTGGTGAGGGAAGAAGAGAGGAGGAAAAGGGAGGGAGGTGGAAGGGGGAGGGGAAGGTTGAGGAGATGGCTCCGCAGCTGAAGCATTTGCCCAGCAAGCATGAGGACCCGAGTCTGAATTGCTAAGGCCCTCCTCAAAGCTGGGTATGGTAGCATGTGTGGAGACTCCTAGTGACCCTAGGCAAATGGGAGGAGGGAACAGGACAATCACAGAAGCTTGTGGGAGAGACCCTGCCTCAAACAAGCTGGAGGAAGGCAAGGGTGGACTCCTGAAGTTGTCCTCTGTCTGACTCCATAGATGTTTTGTGCAAGCAGAAACCCTTGCTCACACACATGTCATATGTGTACATATATGATACACATCACACAGAAGAAGGAAGAGAGGTAAGGAGAGGCTGTCAGCATCCTTGCCTTGCTGTGATAACTACAGTCCTTGGACAGGTCAGCACTGGACTCCCAGAACTGAACAAAGTTAATGTCATCCTGGTCATGTAGAAGCCAAAGACAGGCAGAGGTTTCCCTAGCACACCTGAGGCCTTCCTTCATGGCTTGCTAGAATAAATGCCCTCAGTGGTGTGCTTGGATTTACTCAGCTGGGAACAGGCAGTTAAGGCCCTGGGCAGGGGATTTGAGTACCTGGGTCTCATAGCCAACCTGCAAGTGACAGGTTCGTGCCAGTGTGCCTGGACATCCTTGTTTGTCCTAGGCGAAGATCTTGAGAGCAGCGAGACTTTGGGGGCAGGGAGAGCGTCTGGGGCTTCAGAGGAGAGGAAACAGAAGTGAGGATAGTCAGCAAAAGCAGGGCCAAGAGGGAGGCAGGAGCTGGGCCGGGTGTGGGGTCCCCAAGCCATCACCTGCTATGGCTCCGCAACTGGCCTTTCTGTCCCCTGAAGGCGTCCCAATGGGCCCTCTCCCATCTGCACTGTGGTTATAGAGCCTGGGCCAGCATTTCCCCCAGGCTGGAGAAGGCAGAGGTAGAGTCGTTAGGGACACCTGCCTCCCCTCCTCCCACTCCCAGGCGGCGGGAAGCCACCACTGCTGCACCTGGGCACAGCAGGGCCTGGGAACACATGGAACCCACAGCACCCAAGGCCTCCCAGGGTCCCTGTGCAGGGCCAGGAGAAGGCAGGCAAGCGGCCATTAAAACTGCCCTTGCCGCATAAAGGCACACAATAAAGACGAGGAAGAAATAAAGCTGTGTGCAGGAGACACCAACAAGTGAGAAGGACCCTTCAAGGGTCAGGAGGGGCTGTTGCACGTCATTTAGGGTAGTTAATTCTTTCTTTGGAAAACCTGAGCACTTTACAAAAATGACCTCCTAGCAGGAAGAAAGTAGCATGGGTGAGACTGCACTAAGCACTCTCAAATAAAGACAATTGTTTTTTATTTTGTTTTCCTTTCGGGTTTTTTTTTTCCAGAAGCAGGGTCTCAGGCTGCAGTTCTGACTGGCCTGGAGCCCTCTGGCATACTGAGGTAGCACAAAGTAGCACCCTGTGCTCTTCATGGTTGGCCTGAGCTACACGAGACCCTTCCTTCCTTTCTTCTCTTCTCTTCTCTTCTCTTCTCTTCTCTTCTCCTTTCCTTTCCTTTCCTTTTCTTTCCATTCTCCTCACCCCCTCTCTCCACAAGGTTTCTCTGTGTAGCCCTGGCTGTCTTAAAACTCACTTTGTAGATCAGGCTGGCTCCCAATCAAAGAGCTCCTCCTGCCTCTGCCTCCCAAGTGCAGGTGGGATTAAAGGCGAGCACCGCCACACCCGGCCTAATGTTACCGGTCATTAGGGAAATGCAACAAAACTATAGTAACAGGGTGCCAGACCTTAGGTCCCCAGACCTGAGCACAACTGACTCCATGATGGAAGTGTCATGGTAAAACTCCGCATGTAGACAGCACCACCTGCCAAAATGAAAACAAAGACCTGATCCATCAGAGTCCATAGTTCTGGGCTACTCTCGAAATGTCCTAACATTGCCTTTTGGCTCCTGTAGTTCTGCTTCTGGCTAACTAAGAATGGCAGCCCAGAACATGGTTTTTGTGATTAAAAGCTCACCCCAAGAAAGGCTGCTGTTACACTGGGACTGTGAAGACCCAGTCAGTCACTGGCCAGCTAGTAAAAACTTTCTATTGTCTCCTCTGCTGAATTCTCCACCATGTAATTAGATACCCGCCATGTCCACCCACTTTAGGCGGTACCCAGACCTAGGAAACCGACTGGCCTTGATGGGAAGGGCCTGTAATCCCAGCATTTGGAGCAAGAGGATGGAAAGTTGGGTCCATCTTGGGCAATAACTTGAGACCCTGTCTCAAAAACATAGAAGAAAAAGAAAGATTGGAGAAAGGGCTCAGTGATTAGGAGCTTTGCTATCCTTCTGGAGGACAAGAATTTGTTTCTTGTTTGCTGGGTGTTTTTGACACAGGCTCTCATATAGCTCAGGCTGCTCTCAAATTCTCTTTGTAAATGAGGATGACTTTGAACTTCTGATGGTTTTGCCTTCGCCTCAGAGCTGTGGTCACAAGCGTACCACCTTACTGGTTTATGCAGACCGGGGATGGAACCTAGGGCTTCATCCCTGACAGGCAAGCACTTTACCAGCCTCCTGCTCAGACTCTCTGAGGCCACTGGGGACAACACAGCAAGTCCCCATGGCAAAAAGTAACTGCAGCCAAGCATGGGGGTGCATGCATTTAATCCCAGCACTCTACAGGCACAGGCAGGTAGATCTCTGTGAGTTCCAGGCTAGTCTGGTCTACAGAGTGAGTTCCAGGCCAGCCAAGGCTACACAGTGAAACTCTGTCTCAAAAACAGAATCCTACCCACCACCGTGGCCAGAGAAGCCTCTGCTGCAGGGGCAGTAGCTGATGCAGACTTCTGAACTGGTCCAGATGAGGGGCTGTTGAGTGCTCAACAGGGACATCTACATCACCCCTCCCCCAGGCTCGTGAAACACGGAGGACAGCTGGGAGAGTCTATGAGGCGAAGCCTGGGAGGAGTGCAGTGAAGTGCCTTCTAGACAGAGGATGGCTTTGCGTTCATGAACTCACTGCAGCTGGGACTGCCTGCACACGATTCCCACAAGATCAGTCAAGACTCCGGCAATCACCACTAACTGGACTCTAAGTCACCACTAAGGGACAAGTCATAACGACTACGGGAGGACAGCTGGGAATGCAGGGAAGTGGGGAGGGGAGCTTGGTGGATACATGTGGGAAACTGCCGAAGGAAATAGATAAATTGAAGAAATAACCTAGCACTTGGGAGGTGGGAGCAGGAGGACCATCCTTGGCTACATAGCAAACTCGAAGCCATCTGGACTGCATGAGACCCTGTCTCAAAAGAACAACAGTGGGGCTGGAGAGACGGCTCAGCTGTCAAGAGCACACATTAGTTTCAGCTGTTAAGAACACACATAGCTCTTGCAGAGGACCTGAGTTTAGTTCCCAGCACCTATAGCAGGTGACTCACAATCTGCTGTAACTCCAGCTCCAGGGACCCAATACCTTACACATGCACATAATTAAAAACAGTTGTGTGTGAGCATGTGTGTGTGTGTGTGAGCATGTGTGTGAGCGTGTGTGTGAGCGTGTGTGTGAGCGTTTGTGTGTGAGTGTGTGTGTGTGAGCGTTTGTGTGTGAGCATGTGTGTGAGCGTTTGTGTGTGAGCATGTGTGTGAGCGTTTGTGTGTGAGCATGTGTGTGAGCGTTTGTGAGTGTGTGTGAGTGTGTGTGTTTGTGAGTGTGTGTGTGTGTGTGTGTGTGTGTGTGTGTGTGTGTGTGTGTGTGTGTGTGTTTGAGTGAGGCTCTCCCATCGGCTGTCCTGGAGCTCACTTTGTACTCAAACTCACAGAGATCTCCCTTGGGCATCAGGCACATACATGGTACATATATACGAGCAAAACACACCCCATATAAAGCAAGAAACAATAACAACAAAATGTTCAACCTTGGCTCTGCCAGCTGTGACCTTGGGCCGGCCACTCAGTCTTTCTGAGGCTCAGCTGCCTCATCCACGAGTCGAAGCAACTGGAGGATGACATGAAGAGCTGAAAGACCCTGCCACCCGCCTGGGGTGGGCACCCAGCTCCCGGGATGGGAGTGGCACCTGAGTTCCCCGAAACCCCTCCTCCCCAGCAAGGACTGGGCACCGGCTTAGCTAGTGGCAGAGCAGCTGAGGTACAGCTGGGCCTGTGGCTTCGGAGGGAGTCGAGGAAGTCTCCTCCCCCAGCCCACACATCAGGGCTGCAGCTGGGCCTGTGGCCTGGGAGGGAATCGAGGAGGCCTCCTCCCCCGCCCACACCTCAGGCCTGAAGCCCGGTCATGCCTCTTCCTGAGTGGGCCATGGCTAGGACATGGTTGCTGCTTTTCCTGGCCCTCGGGGGTCAAGCCCTGCCCACAGGTAAGTCCGTTTTGCACCCATATGCCCCCCCCGTACCATCAGAGCCTCTACAATGGCGATGGGATCCATGGTCACCTGGTTCTGAGGCCTCAGGTCTTCCTCCAGATGGAGTGTCAGCAGGGCCTGGTTCCCTCTTGGAAGCACAGGGAAGTAAAAGCATCCCCAGCCTGGTGGTGTAGGCCTATAGCCCCAGCTACTCGGGAGGCTGAGACGGGAGAACCCAAGTTCGAGGGTGAGAAGAGAACTGTGGGTATAGCTCAGTGGTAGAGCATTTGCTTTGCTGTTGTGTGTGAGGACTAGGTTCAGTCCTGGAACCAAATCATTAAAGAGAAAAGGAGACATCTGGATGGGAACCCACAGAGGTGGGGAGGTTCACGGAGCCAGGGCTGTGCTGTGTGATAGAGGGTGTCGCACTGTGGGCAACACTGCCCTTCCTGCCCCCAGAGCACCCTCTTCCAACAGGGACCAGGGTGTCTCAAGCTCACGTCTAACTCAGGCGAGATCCCAATGTGTCAGCGACTTGCCAAGCAGTCCAGTCAGCTAAGGATCAAGGCCAGAGAATTCTGCTCCATCTGAAGTTTGCACATATATGATGAGGGAAGGAAGGCCTCGGACATGCTAATTTTACATGCATTCATGTTTTGCCTGCATGTGTGTCTGTGAAGGTGTTGGGTCCCCTGAAACTGGAGCTACAGGCAGTAATGAGCTGCCATGTGGGTGCTGGGAATCGAACCTATGTCCTCTGGAAGAGAAGTCAGTGCTCTTAACAGCTGAGCCATCTCTCCAGCCCCAGCCTTGGACTTTTGAGTCAGGGGGTCTATTTGATCTAAATTCACCCCAAGTGTGTCACGGGGACTGAGCTCTGGGAAGGAAGTACTTGGGGTGAGGGGAAATCTGGGGGTCTTCCTAGTGGAGATGGAAGCTGCATCGGTTCAGGAGGCTGAGGGCCCTGAGGCTCTCTCCTGGGCTCCTGCTGTCCCTTTGTTTGCAAGACTTAGTAATGTTACCATACATAATATTTCCAAAGCTTGCCTGGCAAAGCATCATGATATCTATACTCTTCACAAAGATTCCATTGGGCTACTATATTGTCTGGACATTTGAATCTCAGTCAATGAAGGGGATTGAGTCAGGGGCCAACCTCAGCTCTCTCTGAGGCCTTGTCCTAGACTTGATTCCCTGTGTCATGACAAAATTTTAGACTTTTTTTTAAGGCCAAGAAGACTATGGGATTTGTGGCCACAGAGGCTCAAGTTCAAAGCTGACTGTATCTGCTCGTGTCACTAGACCAGTTATCTGGTCTCCTAATACCTGTAACTCACCTTCCACAAGACTCCCTAGTACCCTGGGGCATTTCCTTAACTGGGCCACACGGAGTTCATAGTGTGAATTTATTTCCAGTTGTTAATATTTGAAATTCTATTTGTATTTTAAAAATCCTATTTAAGCCGGGCGTTGGTGGTGCATGCCTTTAATCCCAGCACTCGGGAGGCAGAGGCAGGCGGATCTCTGTGAGTTCGAGCCCAGCCTGGTCTACAGAGCGAGTTCCAGGACAGCCTCCAAAACAATACAGAGAAACCGTGTCTCGAAAAACCAAAAAAAAAAAAATCCTATCTAAAATTAAATAACGTCTAACTATACACCGAATGTGTCCTCTTCACTGAAAACAGTACACGGAGAGGATGGGTGAGAGACTCGGTGTGCAAAGGCACTAACCGCCAGCCTGCCAGCCGCGTTCGAACCCTGGGACTTCCATCAGCTCTGCCTCCTTTGTTTTAGTTTATATTACTTTTTAAATTCCACACATGCAGGCATGTGTGGGGCACACGTGTGGCAGTTAAACTTTCAGGAGCCGGCTTGTCTTCTACTATGAGGGCTCTAGGATGGAGCTCACACTTGGCAGCACGCCTTCACTCAGTGAGCCGTCTTCCCAGCTTTCTCCCCCGTTAAACAATCAGCTGAGATCTCCGCCTCGTATTATACAGCTCCCCCAGCCATCCTCCGGCCTCTGCCTCCCAAGCTTACATAGACAACCACACCAGGCTTCCATAGTTTTCCCAGGAAGGGAAGTTCCAGGTATATCTGAAGTTCCCTCTGCTCTCATGCCAGGTCTGTCCTCCCCAGAGGCACCAGGTCTCCTCAGGCAGCACAACTGGGTATTGTAAGCACTTGTTGATGACGCTAATGTCTTTCCCACGGGACAGAGTTCCTTGAAAGCCCTGGCAATGATTTTCTCAGTGTCGTGTACCCAGCACCTGGCATAGACAGACAGGCGCTCAGAAAGGCTGGATGGGTAGACAGTAGGAAGAACGACAGAGGACGGATGAGAGACAGGAGGGAGGACGGATGAGAGACAGGAGGGAGGACGGATGAGAGACAGGAGGGAGGATGAGAGGCAGGAGGGAGGATGGATGAGAGACAGGAGGGAGGACAGATGAGAGACAGGAGGGAGGACAGATGAGAGACAGGAGGGAGGACAGATGAGAGACAGGAGGGAGGACAGATGAGAGACAGGAGGGAGGATGAGAGACAGGAGGGAGGATGAGAGACAGGAGGGAGGACAGATGAGAGACAGGAGGGAGGATGAGAGACAGGAGGGAGGATGGATGAGAGACAGGAGGGAGGACGGATGAGAGACAGGAGGGAGGATGGATGAAGCTTGGCTCCAAGGGCTGTGGAGATGGATCAGTCAGTCAGAGTACTTGCTGCACAAACATGAGGGCCTCACTTCAGATTCCCAGCACCCTCAGGAAGCTGTGCACGTGTGCCTGTGATCCCAGCACTGGGGAGGGCAGAGACGGGAGGGTCATCCGGCTTGCTAGATGCAGGCCTAGCTCCAGGGGCAGTGAGAGACCCTACCCCAAGGGAATAAGGTGACATGTCCTCCTCTGGCCCCCATGAATGAATAGGCTTTCTTACCTACACACCTGCACACATACAAACATACATACTACACATACACTGCATGGACACACACACCCCAAAAAGAAAGAGGGAGGAAAGAAAGAAAAGCTTCATAGAAGGAAGAAGGGAAATGGGACGGGTAAATTCAAGGAGGGAGGAGGGTGGGCTGCAGAATACAGTGGTGACCGAAATGGAGTGAGGGGAGCCTGAGACAACAGAAGCCCACAGCTCCAACCTTCCAGAGAGTTCCAGTCCGGGGACACAAGCTGACTGCCGCACAGAAACTCTCCTCACAGAAACTCTCCTCTCTTACAGGCATCCCCTTTCCTTCTCTGGCCCCACCCATCACACTGAGGGTGGATGGAAGGCGGCAGACGTTGGTGGTCTGCCTGGTCCTCAACGCGGCACCCCCTGGCCTCCACAGCCCCATCTGGTTCTCTGCTGGCAACGGCAGTGCCCTAGACGCCTTCACCTACGGGCCCTCCCCAGCCCCGGATGGCACCTGGACCAGCCTCGCCCAGCTTTCCTTACCCTCTGAAGAGCTGGAAGCCTGGGAGTCCGTGGTCTGCCACACCAGGCCTGGGGCCGGGGGCCAGAGTCGGAGCACACTCCCCCTCCAGCTGTCAGGTGGGGATGAAGCCTGGGGACCTGTCCCTTCCCATGTCCTGGAGCCAGGATAGAGTGGGGAGGGAAGGGTTGCTCCAGGCAGGGGCATGAAGGACGCTACGTGAGGTAAACCCTGGCTCCGGGCATCAAGGACGTGTGAGGGAAGACCCTGGCTCCGGGTAGGGTGGGTTTGAGACCATGATTCCTGGGATTGACAGCTGTGATACACGGTTCAGGCTTCCTTTTGAGCCTGCAATCCCAGCACTCGAAGAAGTAGAGACAGGAGAGTCACGGCTGTCCTAGACAAGTGAGTTCAAGGCCTGTTTGCTCTACATGAAACTGTCAAAAACCAAAGCGAAAGCTAAGAGATATTGATAACTTTAATGGCACCACCACCACCCAACTTACATTTAAAAATTTTTAAAAATATTTATTTATTTATTATGTATTTGGTGTCCTGACTATGCGCATGCATGCTAGGACACCAGATCTCATTACATATGTCTGTGAGCCACCATGTGGTTGCTGGGAATTGAACTCAGGACCTCTGGAAGAACAGCCAGTGCTCTTAACCTCTGAGCCATCTCTCCAGCTCTCATTTAAAAATTTTTAAAGATTATTATTTTGAAGTGTGTGTGTGTGTGTGTGTGTGTATGTGTAGGGTATGTATGTGTGTAATTTGGGTGTGTGTGGGGTGTATGTGTGTGTATGCATGTGTGTGTGTGTTGGGTGTGTATGTGTGTGTGTGTGCGCGCGCGCACATGCACATATGTGTAAGTATCATGTGAGTGCAGGTGCTTGACAAGACTAGACACAGTTGATCCCTGGGAGCTGGAATTAGTTACTTGCATTGTGACAAACAAAAGGGTTGGGAACCAAACACTGGTCTTTCTGGAAAAGCAATATATACTTTTTGTTGTTGTTTTGTCTGTTTTTTGGTTTTGTGAGACAGGGTTTCTCTGTGTAAAAGCCCTGGCTGTCCTGAAACTCACTCTGTAGGCCCTACTGGTCTCAAACTCACAGATATCCACCTGCCTCTGCCTCCTGAGTGCTGGGATTGAGGGTGTGTGCCACCACTTCCTGGTTCATGTTACCAGCCCAAGAAAGCACTTTACCAACTAGGCCAAGCAGAGGAGGCTGGCCTGCCAGTGAGTCCCGAGGGTCTGGCTGACCCTACCTCCCCAGCACAGGATTATAAATATGAGCCTCCATGTCCTGTTTCTGTTTCTTTTTTAGCATGGACACTGAACTCAGGTCCTGTGCTTGTAGAGCAAGCACTGTCATGACTAAGCCACTTGAGTCACCTCAATTTTATTACCTCCCTAAGAGGATTGCTTCTGGAAAAAGTGCTCTGCCTTCCAGCAAAAGCTGCAAGAGAATGGGCTCCCTGTGGGAAGGGACTGAGGTGCCTCTTAGAGACAGAACTGTAGCACAAACAATAAAAATCCAGAGACAGATACTGGGTTTCAACCTGAAGATCAGGAAAGTGAAGCAACCAAGCCACTAGTGAGTTCTTACCTCTACCAAGGCTCAAACCAAAAGGGGCGACGCTGTCCTCCGTGTGACTGCAATGCTGTCCACCAGACCTCAGACTCCCCGAGACTGCACTGAGCTGAGCGCCTGCCTTACATTCCTCTCTAGTGCTGCGATTAAAGGTGTGAGCTCTGTTTCTCTTTTAGACTGATTCACTCTCATGTAGCCCAGTGTGGCTTTGAACTCACAGAGACCCATCTGCCTCTGTCTCCCGAGTGCTGGGATTAAAGGTGTGGGCACCACTGCCTGTCCTCTAACTAGTAGCTTAGGTATGTGTGGCTAACTAGTAGCTTAGCTCTGCACCCTGATATTCAGGCAAGGTTTATCTTTTGGATCATAAATAAAATGTCACACACAGAGCTGTCAGGCAGTGGAGAGGTGTGGCGGCTCCTCAGGACTTGCCAAGCAGTGAGCCTGGGACTGGGAGGGGCCCACTCATCCCATAATACTCACTTCCTTCTTGGCTCACAGAGGAAACTTCCACAGCCAGGACCTGCTTTCAGGAGCATCTCAGGGGTGAGTGGTCAATGGGGTCGGGGTAGGATGGGGGCCCATGAGGTTGCAGTTTGGAAACAGTCGTCTCCAGTTAAGGGACTGCTTTGCTAGCCTGGGCTTCAGTCTTTCCTGGGATAAGGTGGGGTTTTCAGATGCCATCCCTATTCCTGGGCTCCAGCGGAGTAGCACAGATGGGGGGCCTGATGGCTCCTTGGGTCGGGGGTGGCAGGCGGTCTCAGTATGAGAGCCTGTGCATTATTTAACTACCCTAGGTAGAACACTGGGCTGGGAATCACAACCAGCATCCGTTTCTTGCCCAGATATTCTAAGCGATTTACTCTTTGCATCAGATGCCCTTTCCTGAGTGCCTGCCTCTCTCACCAAATAAAACAAAGTGAGGGCAAAGTGGGAGGCCCTTGTTATTGCCAGTAGAAACTAAAGTTAGACATCAGGAAGGACTTTCCCTGGAGGAGGGAACAGATGGAGACTGGTCAACAGAGAGGACAGGTCCTCCCTATCCTCTGGGAGGTCTAAGGCTCCTGGGGACTTCTCCCACTCTTTATTCTGCAGGGACACTGGGTCAGGTCCTGCGGCTGAGTGCCCTGAGGCTGCTTCTCTTCAAACTGCTGCTGTTGGATGTACTACTGACCTGCAGCTGCTTCTGTATACTGGCTGGCCAGCACCTGCTGCCACCGCCCCCACGCAAGCCCCTGCCATCCACCCGCCGAATTTGGACATAGTAGTAACAGACTTCAAGCTTTGATCTTATCCAACCCGCTGAGGCTCTTTGCTGAGCCCAAGATGGCTATTTCTGCCACCTGGGGCAGGAACACCAAGCCAGGGCTTCGAGGAGGAGGAGGCCGGCTGGGCCCGCAGCTCACGAGCCCTGGTGTTCCTTATTCACGTTTTGGAACTTTTTCTTTTCCTGTATGCGGTCTGCCTCTCCCTGTAAATGTGTCTATCTGGGACTGGGCTCTGCCTCCCTTGTCAGCCTGAGATTTTGGGAGGAAAAGGCCTATCTCTCCTGTCACACTACGGGTAGGAGGATGGATGTGCCCCAGTGTGTGTAACCAGGCACAATACAGAAGACCTTAGATGACACAAACACGTTGTAAAGCTTTTCATTTGTGTGCCTGGGGGAAATGGTGTGCCAGATAAAGAGGAATCGGAGATCTGGGAAGGCTTCCTGGAGGAAGAGTGGGAACCTAGAAATTGCCCAGTGGGCTTGGGGACTGGAGAGGGGTTGTAGAGACTTTCCTACTCCCTACTGTCAGTCACTGGACAAGGGCCCTCCCTGCTTCCTTACCCTGGCACAGCCTTTTGAGAGGGCAAAGTGGAGCCAGGGAGCCAGGGAGGTAGTGCTTACCTGCTAGTCTTGTGCAGGCTTGACAGAAGCGTGGGGAGCCAGGTTCCCGGGCATCAGGGTCACATCCAATGCTAGCAGCACAAGACAGTAATTGCAAACCTACACGCTATTAATTACAGGTCATTATTCATTTGACAGATATTAACTCAGCATCAGCTGGGAGTCAGGTACTAAAGAGGTTTGACCTTGTTGGTTTTTCCTTATTCCCTAAAGAGAGCCCCTGCATGGATAGAGGATGAGATTCCAGAGAGAGAGAGAGAGAGAGAGAGAGAGAGGATGCCCATGGAGGCCACAGGTGGAGCTGGAGTTACAGATGGTTGTGAGCCACCTAATGTGGGTATTGGGTAACTAACATAGGCCTCCAGGAGACCCTCTTTCCATCTCTTGAGTCTTTCCTTCTTTCTTCCTTCCTTCCTCCCTCCTTCTGCATCTTCTTCCGCTTCTGCTTCTTCAAGACAGAGTCTTGGGGGCTGGAGAGACACCTCAAAAGTTAAAAGCACTGGCTGCTCTTCCAGAGGACATAAGTTCAATTCCCAGCACCACATGACAGATCACAACTGTCTACAACTCCAGTTCCAGGGGATCTGGCACCGACACACAGACATATATGCAGGCAACGCACATTAAAAAGAAAAACAAAACAAAAGACAGATTCTCACTCCATAGCCTAGGCTGGTTTCAAATTCACAGAGATCCTCCTGCCTCTGCCTCCCAATTGCTGGGATTGAAGGTGTTGCTGCCACTGCCCAGTGTCTGAAACTCTTAATTCATGTCTAATACATATATATATATATATATATATATATATATATATATATATATATATATATATGTTGAGGCAGGGTTTCTCAGTTGAACCCTGAATTCTCAAATAAAACTGAAGCTCACAGATCACAGATAAAAGCTAGTCCCACTAGTTGACTGGCTCTGAGGATCCTATCTCCACAGAAAACACTGTAATTATGGGTGGGATACCATTCTTGCAGGAATTTACATGGGTGCTGAACCATCTCCCTAGCTCATCTCCTGCCTCTTCCTGTGGATCTTTGGGGAACAGTGCCACAGCAGCTTCTGGAGATGAAGCTGTCCCCTCCTCGTCCACAGAAATTGATCGTCCTCCATAGCCAAGTTCGGGGAGACATCCAGCTGTAGCCTCCATTTCTTTAAACACTGCCCCTTTCCAGCAATTAGTGAAGGCTATGAGTCAAAGCTAATGTTTTGCCTCTGTAAATGTCCCCTCGGCTGCCTTGGTCCAGAAGCTGAGTTTCCTTCACTTTCAACCCTGTCCTGCTCAGTCCCTTAAGTCACCACTGTGACTGAACCTCCAGGAGGACTTCCCAGTCTTGTGAGTCAGGGCAGTAGCCAGCTTTTGAGCCAGCCAAGTCTAAAAGAGCCTAGAGAACGTGGAGACACCCTGGAGGCTGTCCCTGTCCTGTGCATTGTGAAGCCCCACATGCCATAGCCCCACCTAGCCAAAGTGCCCTGATACCAGCACTGCTCGTGTTACAGCTCTGAAGGGAAAGTTGTCCTGGTAAGTCGGGAGCCAAGGAATGCCAATAAACACCATACAACAAACCTCACACGAGACATTAAAGGGAAAGACACAGGAGGGAGGCCCTCTGCTCCGGAGAAGCAGCTAAGAACTGAGCAGGAGGCAGGCTTTTTATTGCGTTTCTTTGGGGTGGGGCTTTCCAGGGTGGTCTGATATTGGAGGGATTATGTGGCCTGGTTTTGGGGCAAACTCAAGGATTGGTGTGATTTTGTGGCCTCGTAGTGGCTTTTTTTTTTTTTTTTTTTTTTTTTTTGGTTTTTCGAGACAGGGTTTCTCTGTAGCTTTGGAGGCTGTCCTGGAACTCGCTCTGTAGACCAGGCTGGTCTCGAACTCACAGAGAGCCGCCTGCCTCTGCCTCCCGAGTGCTGGGATTAAAGGTGTGCGCCACCAACGCCTGGCCTGTCTTGGCTTTTGTTTCTCTTTTTTTTCCTCTCTTTAGGGCAGGGCCTGTGTTGGCTATTCATGTGAATTTGGGTGGCAGGTCAGGCTTTCCCTGTTGCTTGTGGAGATGACAGTTGCAAGCCTGGCTCCTGGAGACCTGAGGGCCGGGCATGTCTTCTCCAGGCTGCCACCAAACATCCGCCCCCACCTCCATGCCAGCAAAGTCCTAACATTTGCACCGGGGAAGTCTTTCCCCTCGCAGGTGTAACACTTACAGGCTGGCCACTCTCCTGCCTCGAGGGGATAGGAATGGTTTTTATAAGTTATAGAAGCCTGGGGGTGGAGCCAAGCCATACTCTCCTGGAGGGTCTTATAGACATAAGGGCTTTTTTACACAGGACACTACGGCCAGCAAAGGACAGGGTGAACTTGGATAACTTCATAAACTTAGCAAACATCCTCAAACTTGAGGGATAAAACAGTTATTTAAGCTGCATTTGCTGACAGCTTCCCAGAGAAGCTGAGCTCAGAGTCAGTTTAAGGTTTAAAGCAATGCCAAGAACCCAGAGAGTCCTAGAACCAAGGCTGCCATTGAACTCATGGTCCTTCTGATTCTTCCAAAGAGCTCTGTTCTTTCTGCCTTCACCTTCCAAGACTTGGAACCAAAGTGCTGGTATTATGGGCACGAACCATCACACATAACGCATATGGCTCACTTTTGTGCTTGGTGCCAGATCGGGCCTAGGACTTCATGCACACAAGGCAACCACACTGCATCCAAGGCATATGCTCAGTTAGGGAATCCTCTTCTTTTATTAAATTATTTATTTTTACTTTATGTGCATTGGTGTTTTGCTTGCATGTGTGTCTGGGTGAGGGTGTCAGATCTTGGAGTTACAGACAGTTGTGAGCTGCCATGTGGGTGCTGGGATTGAACCTGGGTCCTCTGGAAGAGCAGCCAGTGCTCTTAACCACTGAGCCATCTCTCCAGCCCCCAGGAATTCTCTTCTTAACAAAGACCCCCTAATGCCAGGCACCCTGATGATGCAGAGGCAGAAAGGAACGTAAATGTTCAATGCCAGGCTCCTGCCTTCTAGGCGTTCAGAATACAAAGAAACAAACAGCAGAAGAGGCTGAGGTAGCATGGTAAAAATGCTGGGATGCTATCCATCTGCTCCATACATTTCTTTTTTTTTTCTTTTTTTTTTAATTAATTAATTTATTTATTTATTACACATACAGTGTTCTGCCAGAAGAGGGCACCAGATTGAATTGTAGATGGTTGTGAGCCACCATGTGGTTGCTGGGAATTGAACTCAGGACCTCTGGAAGAGTGGTCAGTGCTCTTAACCTCTGAGCCATCTCTCCAGCCCCTGCTCCATACATTTCAAGGCATTTTTGTTTTGGAGACACCAGGCCTCCTGTAGGTCAGGCGGCACCCCATGACTATGCAGCCAAGGATGACCTTGAATTTTTAATCCTTCTGCATCTATCTCCTGAATGTTGAGATTATAGGCTTGCATCACCACCCACCTCTAGGTTTATGCCAGCCTAGGGATTGAATGCCAGACTGGCGAGGGAACACTAGGAATTTATGAATGCTAGGCAAGGGCCCTACCACTGAGCTACATTCATTTTAAATCCCTCCTTAAGTCAGGGTGTGTGTGTTACAGCTCTGCGGCAATGCAGGGGAAGGCTCCCCAGTGTGTTACAGGGAAAGGTGTCCTGGCAATTGGGAGCCAAGGAAGCCAAGAAATACCACAGAGTCATACTGCACAACAAACCTCACACAAGAGACTGGGTGGAGGGAGCCGGGCAGTGATGGCGCCTACCTTTAATCCCAGTACTTAGGTGACAGACTCAGGCAGATCTCTGAGAGTTTGAGGCTAGCTTGCTCTACAGATGAGTTCCAGGACAGGTAGGGCTACACAGAGAAACTGTTATGCCCAGTCCTCAGGACCCCAGAAGGACCACCACCAAGGAGACCACCGAATGCAAAGGCAAAGGATCCTCAGGAGTGAGTGAGATGCCTGTTTACAGTTAAGGGGGTGTTGTATAGGGAAAGTCCATAAGGCTGAAAGCCTGGAGATTATACAAGGAAAGGCAATAACTATGTTTGTTTTGTTTTGTTTTTGTTTTTTTCGAGACAGGGTTTCTCTGTATTGTTTTGGAGCCTGTCCTGGAACTCGCTTGGCAGACCAGGCTGGTCTCGAACTCACAGAGATCCACCTGCCTCTGCCTCCCGAGTGCTGGGATTAAAGGTGTGTGCCACCAATGCCTGGCTAGCAATTATATGTTTAAGCAAGATACAATTGAACAGGAAAGGGCAGGGGGCATTTGGTCATGAGTTTGTTAATTACCCCCTGGGAGGGGGGTTACTACCACTAAATGGTGGTATCTGGTCCTCTTTGGGACAAAGGAATGTTGACACAGCTGGTGATGTGTTAACTGGACTTCAGGCTTCTAGTCACATACTCTGTCAGGGGGTCAGATGCTTTTGTCCAGCTATTTTCTTTTGTGCTGTCTTAGGTAGCTCAAGATCAAAAATTCCCTTTTCCCTGTATGGACTTAGTGGTGTAAGTTTTTTAGATTTTTATTAATTTTTTCTATTACAGTCTTGAAAAAAACAAAAAAGAGAGGGGGGAGGGAGGGAGAGAGAGAGAGAGAGAGAGGGAGGGAGAGAGGGAGAGAGAGGGGGAGGGAGGGAGAGAGAGGGGGAGGGAGAGAGAGAGGGAGGGAGGAAGGGAGGGAGGGGCAGGAAGAGGGAGAGACTGGAAGGTAAAGTCAGGACAGTGGATGTCTCTGCTCCATAGAGAATGGAGTAGGGAATGGAGCAGAAGGCAGGGTTAATATAGGGTTTCCTGGGTGTAGGGGTGCAGAGCTTTCCAGGGTGGCCTGGGATTGGTAGGATTGTTGTGGCCTGATCTTGGGTCAAGCTCAGGAATTTGTGGGATTCTTTTTCTTGGTCCTGGACCTGGGGTCAAGTCAGGGTTAGGGTGTTCTTTCCCTGACCCTGGTCTCAGGCTCCAGTTGGGAACAGGGTGTTCTCTCCCTGTCCCTTTAACCCTACATGGTGGTGAAGGCACACGCCTTTAATTCCAGGGAGGCAGAGGCAGGTAGATCTCTGAGTTCAAGGCCAGCCTGGTTTACAGAGTGAGTTCCAGGACTACACAGATAAACCCTATCTCAAAAAACAAAGCAAAAAAATTAATGAATTGATTTGAGCTTCCCAATAGACAAGGTTCACAGAGATGTAGGATGGAGATAACAAGGGGTCGCTCTGTCATCAAACAAATAGCTTTCTGGTCAGAGAAATCACTTATTCTGGTGTTCATAAGGACGAATGCAAGGTCACTGGGCATCAGGGCTGCTGTGAGTCCCTACGTGAGTGTTAAGGAGAGTGGCTGTGATAGTAAATGGTTTGCAAAGAAAACCATGAAGGTTGCCTTAGTGGGTAAGGAGTGGCCATCAAGCCTACGGAACAGAGTTTGATGCCCAGTGTTGTTGTTGTTGTGAAGCGGTGTGTTTGGCTTCACGCCTTCAGCAGTTATGGATTACTGCTTTTCTGATGGGCTTAGCCCTTGGCCCTCGATCTTGGAGTTGCAAGAACGACCTGAGTCACTAGTGTGCTCTCTGCCTCTCCAGGAGAGGTAAACAACAAAGAAGATAAGCCCATCACTCTACTGGGATGCCTGTTAGAAAACCTGAAACCCCTTCACTTAATGCCATTTGTGAAGGCACCCAGACTCACCTCTGTACCAAGAAATGGCCTAAAAATGCCCCTAGATAATAAGTCAATTGGCCACCTAGCAGCTCTTAGGGCCCCTTGCCCGTCCTATATGAGGCAGCTCTTGGCTCTCCATGTGAGCCCCTCCTTAACCCCATTACTGAGCCCTTTCAGAAACTCACACAGGCTCCTCTCCAGGCCCCAGCCCTGCATCTCCCAGACCTAACTCGTCCTTTCTCCCTCTGTGTTACAGAAAAGGGGGGACACGCCCTTGGAGCTCTAAGTCAGCAGCTGGGGCCTTCCTTGCATCTGTAGCATAACTGTCAAAGAAACCAGACCTAACTCCCCAAGGTGGGCACCCTGCACACGCACTTTAGCTGCTGCTGAGCTCCTCATTCGTGAGTCAGAGAAACTCACCTTTGGGTCACCCATCACTGCTTTCCACCACAACCTGTCCCATCTCCTAACTTATAGAGGCTAACACTACCTCCTTCCCGAGGTCTTTCTCTCCAGGTGGCGCTGGTAGAAGATGCCACACTTACTTTCCAATCCTGCCCACCCCTCAATATCTCAAATCCTCTATCTCAGCCTAATACTAACTATTCCCCATCTCATTCTTCCTGCTTTGAAACCCTAGAAAACTATTACCCCATCCTTCACACATATGGGAAGACACACAACCTAAGACCACCTATACCTGGTACACAGATGGCAGCTCCTTTTTACATGGGGGACCCGCAGAGCAGCCTATGGCACAGTGTCAGATACCAGGGTTGTGGAGGCACAGGCACTCCCCGCCCACACTACTAACTAGCAGGTTGAACTTATAACTCTCACCCATGCCTTCCAATTAACACAGGGACAATCTCTAAATGTTTACACACACTCCAAATATGCCTTTCACATCCTCCTGTCCCATGCTGCTATCTGGAAAGAGCATAGGCTACTTACTGCAAAAGGAGGTTCCATAACGAACTCAGGTTATAGTTCGGCCATGCTAAAGACCTCCACCTCCCCAAAGCTGTAGGGATTATTCACTGCCGGTCTCAGACTGACAGCTCCATTATCTCTAGGGGCAACAATGGGGCTGATGAAGATCCGACTCACCTCAGCACCGCAGGGAGTTCGTACACTACAACCCACATCCTCACAGTCACTCCTGACACTCGACAAATTCCGTCCTGTCTACACCAGCTCTTTCACCCCAACAGTCAGGCTCGGTCTCACTTTGTCAAGGCTCACCTCCAACCCATTCCTGAGGACTGACGTTTCTTAAGAACTATCACTGCCCCTTGTAAAAACTGTCAGATGTCAGGCCCTAACTCCAGGTATCGTAATCCCCCCTTTCCCCCACACCAGGCCAGGGGCTGTCTCCCAGGGCCTGACTGGCAACTTGACTTTACCCACATGCCCACAGTCAGATGAATCAAATATCTCCTGGTACTAGTTGATACCTTCTCAGGGTGGGCAGAGGCATTTCCAACCACTAACAACAAAGCCCAGACAGTCTCTGACATCCTTCTCAGGGAAATTATTCCCCGGTTTGGGATTCCGGCCTCTCTCTGGTCAGACAGGGGTCCTGAGTTCACCTCTCAGACATCCCAAACCCTATCTAAAGCTCTCAGCACCCCTTGGCATTTTCATATCCCGTATCACCCCCAGTCCTCAGGGAAGGTACAGCAAACTAACCGTTCCTTTAAAAACGCCCTTGTTAAAATGTCACAGGAACTTCACCTTGACCGAGTAAAGCTCTTGCCTCTGGCCCTCTTCAGGCTTAGGGCTGTCCCCAAACAACCCCTTTCCATCTCACCCTTTGAACTCATGTATGGGCAGCGGGTTCTAACACCTGGTCTCTCACCTAAACCCTCTCCTCTCCCTGATCACCCTTACTTCGCCATCTCCGTTCCCTCCTGTGGAACTTTACTGACCATTCCCTATCTCAACCATGTACAAACCCTTGTGCATCCCCAGTTAACACCGGGGACCAGGTCCTCCTCTCTCCTCCAGACCAATGACCCTCATCCCTTCCCCCTAAATGGCAGGGCCCCTTCCAGGTAATTCTTGTCACTCCAACAGCTGCTAAGCTTGAGGGCCTCCCACCTGGAACCCTTTACTTCACCTGAAGCTCACCCCTCACACACTGCAGCAGGATCTTGATCCCTTAAGCTTCAGAGGACACTGAGGTCCACTCCCTTGTCACTGATGTCAGAAGAATGAGGCTCCACCCCTACAAGCACACTGTACCAGACTGGGAACCCCATATGCTTTCCTTCCTTCGTGCCCCCTCTTCCTCCCCGCAGGCTGATCTGAGCTCTCTGCTTCTACTAATTACATCCTGCTCATCAATCTCCTCTCTGTGCCCCCCAATAACTCCTAATCCAACCAATTAGCTGTTGTTGAGGAAAAGTCAGCCGGTAGTCACAGATGTGGAGACCCAAAGTCCATCAAGCATGTCCAGGTGCCCTCAAATCAACCACCTGTGCCTCCTGAGTGAATGTAAAGGTGCCAGAGAGTTCCATACAGCCTGGACTGCAAGGAAACAACCAGCTCCCCAGGACATGGCAGCACCCCAACTTCTTCTTCTCTGCCCAAGATGGTCAATGTTTTCTAAGTCAGCTGGAAGCAGTCTTGACGATTTGGCCCCCTCCCCGTATTCCTGCCCTACCTGACACCCCCTATTTAATTTCCCACCTTCCCTAGGTCCTGGGCAACCTGGCCCTGCTCTTGCTCCCAACTCCTCTCCTCCTGCCCTGTGATCTCCTCCCAGCCTGCTACTCCGTGCCAGCCCCCTCCTGCCTGGGCTTGTGCCTTCTCCCACCTGCCTGTCACTCCGTGCCAGCCCTCTCCTGGGCCTGTGCCCTCTCCTTAGGGAAACTTTCCTGGTCGAAGGGCCTCTCAATTCCTCGGGCTCTCTCCCCGCCCTGGGATTGCTCTTCTCTGGGCTACTTTCCCTCGCCCTGGGATCCATCTTTGACAGGTGATCGCTCCTCGCTGACAGCTGTCAAAGGTTGCATGGCTGCGTTGTGCATGCGTTAGGTGGCTGCATAAGGACTCTACATGCAGAAACCATGTGGACCTGGGGCCATGCGGAGCTGAACCAACGGCAGCTCCATGACTCCAGTTTCAACGGCCCCAACTGCTGAGACTCTTCTAAACCACTCCCGTTCCCTATATACGCAAGCACACCTCCTGCCTGTTCTCTCTCTCTCTCTCTCTCTTTTCCATTAACGCCTATCCCTCCCTTTGCCCCCTTTCCCAATAAGCTTCATGTAGGTTTATTGAGTTTGGTGGATCATGTTTCATCACTCAAAGCTGCAGCAAAGAACACCCTGGACCAACATGGTGGAAGGCGGCAACTGATTCCAGTCATTCCCAACACAAAATAAGTAAAAAATGTTTTACACTTTAAGGGAGAAAAGCATGATGTCGGGTGTGGGGGTGCACTCCAGAGGCAGGTGGATCTCTGAGATCCAGGCCAGTCTGGTCTACAGAAGGAGTTCCAGGACAGCCAAGGCTACACAGAGAAACCCTGTCTCAAAAAACAAACAACAACAAACCCAAAACTAAAACTATGAAAGAGTAGCTTCACGTTATCCAGGACTAGAGCGGCCAAACCCAGCCTCTCCAAGTCTCCGTTAGAAGGCGGAGCGATCGCTATAGGTCGGCGCGGCCACCATCCGTTCTCTGATTGGCCGAGGTGGAAAAAAAGAGATCGTTTTTCTCATTCGCTAAAAAGCAAACGCCCAGCGAACCCACTGGCTGCTTCTGCGCGGGCCCTGGTCCCCTTCGAAAGCTGCCAGCGGCTGGGGGAGAGGGGGCGGGCCGGGGCTCCCGGTTGCCGTGGTTACACGGAGGCACGTGTGCAGTCCCGGAAGCGGCCGGGGGAAGCTGCTCTGCGCGCGCTGCTAGAGGAAGCGCCACCGGGTCCGCTCAGCTCTGGGTCCGGCTGGGCCATGGAGTCGATGTCCGAGCTCGCGCCCCGCCGCCTCCTGCTTCCCTTGCTGCTGCTGTCGTTGCTGCTCCTGCCTGCCCTGAAGCTGGGCCCGAGCCGCGTCCGGGCGGAGGAGACCGACTGGGTGCGATTGCCCAGCAAATGCGAAGGTGAGGGGGCGGGGCCGCGGGGCGTACCCAGGCCGAGGGGCGGGATGGGGCGGGGCCTGTGGGGAAGGGTCCTGGGCTGGGGTCTCGCTGGTCCCTGCTGAGTGCTTGGCACTGCTAGGTGCTGGGAGCTAGGTGTCCGTGCTCTGGGGCCGGCTGAGTCGTAGCTGCTTATCTAGCCTGGGCATGGGGGTGGAGGGAAAGCTTCACATAGGAGGCCTGCCGCGAAATTAAGAGTTGGCCGGGAAAAGGAAAGTGCAGAAAACCCACTCCGTGTAAACCACAGAAACAGGCAAACGAAGAGGCCCTGCAGGCCTGGAAACCAAAGGGCGAGTTTGAGGAACTGAAAAGGTCCATATGACTCAGAAAAGGAACCTGGAACATTCCCCGTTGTGCCCCCACCGCAACCTAATGTGTGTGTGTGTGGCTTTTTTTGCTTCTTGAGGACAGGGACTTAGTTGCAAATATTTATCGGCAAACAAATTTTAAAAAAGCTTTTGGGATATATACGTTTGTCTCTTTGTGGAGAAAGGAGGTTCAGAGAGTCAAGAGGTCACTTTGGGGAAACATAGAGCCCAGGAGAGATTTAGGTGAAGGGGGAAGATTTTATAATTTCAGAAGACTGGCACTCCAGAGACACAGGCGTGCAGGCAGGCAGGAATTTAGAGATCTGTTCAGAATCTGAGGCCTCCCTTTTGTCCTGCTCTTAACTTTCCGTTTTTTTCTCAGACCCCTCATCCCCCTCCTCTCTTCATCCTAGCTCTAAGCATCCCCCAAAGTATTCTGGAAATTTATGTTAATTCAAAGCCTGCACCAAGCCAGATCTGCGCCAGGCCAGATGTTCCCTAAGCACTAGAAGCGGGGCAGTCGGTTTGAGTCGTATAATCCTTCCATTTGAGCAGTTAAAAGTGAGAATGGGGGCGGGGACCTGGTTCAGTGGGTAACATGATTGCCACACACGTGTCTGAGAACCTGACTTAGGATCCCCAAGACAAATATAAAAAGCCAGATGCTGCAGTGTGTGTGTGCCTGTAATCCCAGCGCTGGGAGACATACACAGGAGGACCCTAAAGCCTTGCTAACAGTCCAGTGTGGCCCAACTCTCCAGGTTCAAGTGAGAAACCTTGTCTGAAAAAAGTAAGGTGCAGAACAGTATCAGAAAGCACCTATAGCCCGGAGGTGGTGGCGCACGCCTTTAATCCCAGCACTCGGGAGGCAGAGGCAGGCAGATCTCTGTGAGTTCGAGGCCAGCCTGGTCTACAGAGCGAGTTCCAGGACAGCCTCCAAAGCCACAGAGAAACCCTGTCTCGAAAAACCAAAAGAAAGAAAGCACCCCTGGCCTCCATGTGCTTACACACACACAAATGCGCGGGCGCACGTGCTCACACATGCGTACACACACTCATTCACACACACATACTATAAATACACAGGGTTTGTTTTTTAAGTGAGTCTCTGAATATACAGGATTTTTGTACATTTGTTTGTTTCTGGATTTTTTGAGATAGGGTTTCTCTGTGTAGCCTTGGCTATCCCAGAATTCTCTCTGGAGACTAGGCTGGCCTTGAACTCATAGAGATCTTCCTGCCTCCCAAGTACTGGGATTATAAGTTGTGCACCACCACTACCCAGCAGAAGTTTTGTTTTTTGTTTTTGTTTGTCTTTTTCAAGACAGGGTTTCTCAGTATAGCTTTGGAATTTATACTGGAACTTGCTTTGTTGGCCAGGCTGGCCTCAAACTCACAGACCCACCTGCCTCTGCCTCCTGAGGGCTGGGATCAAAGGTGTGCTACACCACCAACTGGCTTTTTTTTTTTTTTTTTTTTTGGTTTAGAAGTTTTGTTTTTTAAGTAGACTCTCCAGAGATACTTGACCACACTAGAATGGTATCTGGTAAAGGGTCTCTCCTAGCCAGGCTGAGGTGGCTAGCCTGGTCTACAGAGCGAGTTCCAGGACAGCCTCCAAAGCTACAGAGAAACCCTGCCTTGCGGGGGAAGGAAGGGTTCTCACCTGTGCCAGGGTGCTGTGGGGGGGAAGGAAGGGTTCTCACCTGTGCCAGGGTGCTGTGGGGGGGAGGGGTCTCACCTGTGCCAGGGTGCTGTGGGGGGGAAGGAAGGGTTCTCACCTGTGTCAGGGTTCTGCGGGGGGGGGGAGGAAGGGGTCTCACCTGTGGTCTCACCTCTGTCAGGGTGCTGTGGGGGAAGGAAGGGTTCTCACCTGTGCCAGGGTGCTGTGGGGGGGAAGGAAGGGGTCTCACCTGTGGTCTCACCTCTGTCAGGGTGCTGTGGGGGAAGGAAGGGTTCTCACCTGTGCCAGGGTGCTGTGGGGGGGGGAAGAAAGGGGTCTCACCTTTGCCAGGGTGCTGTGGGGGGAAGGAAGGGTTCTCACCTGTGCCAGGGTGCTGTGGGGGGGGAAGGAAGGGTTCTCACCTGTGCCAGGGTGCTGTGGGGGGAAGGAAGGGTTCTCACCTGTGCCAGGGTGCTGTGGGGGGGGAAGGGTCTCACCTGTGCCAGGGTGCTGTGGGGGGGGAGGGGTCTCACCTGTGCCAGGGTGCTGTGGGGGGGGAGGGGTTTCACCTGTGTCAGGGTGCTGTAGGGGGAGGGGTCTCACCTGTGCCAGGGTGCTGCGGGGGAAGGAAGGGTGTTTTCCCATCTACTTTCCTCTAGTCTGAGGCTTTTGTTTCATCTTTTTACTATTCACAGCACAAGAAGCTCATTTCTTTTCCTTAGGACATCTTCAGAGACTCAGAAACAGGGTTGGCAAGGATCTTAGAGACCATGCAAGCCTAACAAAGGAATTTTCAGAGTGGTTTGGCAAACTTTGACCCTTAGGCGCCTCTTAATACTGTATTTATTTATGTTTATTATTATTGCATCTTTGTTATTAATTGATGACTGTTATCTGGCTCACAGACCTGCCTTCGGGCTTAGAAGTCTGAGTGGAACAGGCCTCAGCACAGATGAAGGAGAACCTGCCCAGAAAAGTGGGTGGATAGCCATGAGGGTCTTGGGTCTGTTCCCTGAGACTCCTTCAAGTCTGACTCTGCGGGGGCTCCTTCCCCTGGGGTGGTCTTGAAGAAGTGACCTTTGGAAGAGTGAGAAAGCTGGTGTACTTGATGGGCATAAGAGAGAGAATGTTGGAAACCCTCACGTTTCCCCCTTCCGGAATACCACACGCTGAGGCTGCGGGAGAATGGAGCAGAGGGGCCAGGACAATGATGATGTGCAGAACAGGTGTGGGGAGGGAGCCCAGATGGTCTAGGAAGGAGAAGCAGAGAGGTGAGAACCTGGGTACATTGAGACCACCAGCTTATAATAGGGACCTCTGTGTTAACGTGCTTGTTAAGTAAAATTCCACCAAACAGACCTTCAACGCCACTCTTGGTGATAAGACAGTGCAGATAGCCAGGCAGTGGTGGCATGCCTTTAGTCCCAGCAACTCAGGAGGCAGAGACAGGTGGATCTCTGTGAGTTTGAGACCAACCCTGGTCTACCTCTGTAGTGAGTTCCAAGACAGGCTCCAAAGCTACAGAGAAACCCTGTCTCAAAAAAAAAAAACTAAAAACAAAAAACAGTGTAAATGCCACTTAACCTGCAGACAAAATTCCACTCAGAGGATCCCACACAAACTCCATCAGCATTAATTAGCAAGCATCCAACATGTACAGGGCACCTTTGAAGACCCGGGGGTCTAAGCTGGGTCTTACAGGATCATAGCATTCTGTCTCACTCAGAGGCCCAGTGAAGGCAGGAGCACGTGGCCTAATTCAAAACATTCTTGGGGAGAAGACTTAATGGAACACAGGAGACTGGGCCATAGAAGCCTCTACAGGGCGTCAACCCCTTTCCCAGGGCCGTGTGTGCATTACACGCTGAAGGCGGTGGCTACCACCTAGTTAATTGTTAACACCCTTTGCTCTTTCACAGTGAGCATAGAAGGTGGGACCTTGTTTTCCATGTCCCTGTCCCCAGTGCTCAGCACACAGCAGTTGCTTAATAACTGCTTGAGCAGGGTAGGCATAAGAAAATAGAAGCACACAAACATAGACCTCTCTGGAGCACAGTAACTTGGCTGCCAGGGAGAACTGGGACACTGGAAATCAAGAAGATGCCCATTCATTTCCTGAGTGTCATAACTGTTGAGTGGCTGTACAGAAGTCATGCTCACCCGGAGTAGGTGATAGTGGACAGTTGTTCTTAATGTGTAACTGTTGAGATGATTTTAAATATTAGGTACTGCAGGGCAGATCATTAACAGTTGTGAATATCAGTAGAAGAATGAAACCTTTCTTCCTATTCTGTTAGCATAATGTACATGAATTTTTTAAGATTTTTTTATTTATTATGTATAGTGTTCTGTCTGCATGTATCCCTGCAGTCCAGAAGAGGGCAACAGATCTCATTACAGATAGATGGTTGTGAGTCATCATGTGGTTACTGGGAATTGAACTCAGGTCCTCTGGAAGAGCAGCCAGTGCTCTTAACTGCTGAGCCATCTCTCCAGTCCCGTGCATGAATATTTTATTTTATTATTATTATTTTTTTTTTTTTGGTTTTTACGAGACAGGGTTTCTCTGTATTGTTTCGGAGGCTATCGGTCCAGCCCGGCCTCGAATTCACAGAGATCCGCCTGCCTCTGCCTCTCGAGTGCTGGGATTAAAGGCGTGCGCCACCACCGCCCGGCGAATATTTTATTTTAAATTGTGTTTAATTTATTTATTTGCTGGGTGGCTGGAGGGGTGGATGGGACAGATACTGCCGTGTCCCTGTGGAGCTCAGGACAGTGGACCTGTAGAGGTCAGAATATGGCTTACCTGAGTCTCTGGGCCTGGGGACAGAACTCAGCTCACCAGAGTTGGTAGCGACCCCTTTACCTGCTGAGCCACCTCTCCAGCCCCACATACTGTTTATTTTCTGAGATACAGGTCTCACCGTGTAGCCCTGGCTGTCCTGGATTTTATGTACAGAAGGCTGGTCTTTAACTCACAGAGATCCTCCTGCCTCTGTTTCCTGAGTGCTGGGATTAAAGGTGTGTGCCACCATACCTGGCTATGTTTTGAGATTTTTCCTTGTTGCCTGTGTTGCCCAGGCTGGTCTTGAATTTACAATCCTCCTGCCTCAGCTTCCCACATAGTTCAGATTAGAGATACTGCTGCTGTGTTTTCTTTCTTTCTATTTGTAAGGTGATGGCAGCTAAGGTGTTTAGATAGGCCGGGAGTGGACATGCAGTAATGAACTCTGTCTGTGGCCTGGAAGTAACCTCCAAACAGAATTTGGTTGGCTGCGTACTAACCTAGTTCTGTGCACTCAGCGGGCTGCCCCTCCTTTCCCTTCTCCAGTGTGCAAGTATGTTGCAGTGGAGCTGAAGTCAGCCTTTGAAGAAACCGGGAAGACCAAGGAAGTGATCGACACAGGCTATGGCATTCTGGACCGGAAGGCCTCTGGAGTCAAGTACACAAAGTCGTAAGTGAATGGGACTTGGCGCCTGGCCTGCTTTTGTTGTGGTTTTGTGTGGTGGGGGTTGGGGAATGAAGGCTGAATAAGGAATGAGGTTGTGGGTCCCATTTTCCTTCTATCCAGGCAAATCGACAACAAAGACTTTGGTCACAATAATGGACTCAAATTTGTCCACTGATTCTGCCTCCATAGGTTAGGTGAGCTTCATAAATCCTTTCTCTGGGCCTCAAATTCCTCATCTAGGAAAGTGAGACTGTGACCAGGCAGATCCCTGGTGAATCCCTGAAGCCACAGCTCTCACCACCAGTGTACTTTATACAAAATATTGCTGGGCAGTGATGACATGTGTCTTTAATCCTAGTATATGGGAGGCAGAGGCAGGTGAATTTCTGAGTTCAAGGCCAGCCTGGTCGATGATAGATCTAGTTCCAGGACAGCCAGTCTCAAAAGGTGAAACAAAACAAGTAAACAAAAAATTGTTAACATGAGATTACCAAAGTTTTTGTTTTGTTTTGTCTTAAGTAACTATTTTGGCGCAGGATTTCTCTTTGTAACCCTGGCTGTCCTGGAATTCACTGTGAAGACCAGGCTGACCTTGAACTCATAGAGATCTCCTGCTTCTGCTTCCTGAGTGGTGGGATGAAAGGTGGGCATCAGATGAATTACCAGATAAAAATCTAAAAAACAAAACCAGCTTCTGTCAGTTAGTCATCTTTTCAGAATGACATGATGGGGGCTGGGGAGATGTCTCAGCAGTTAAAAACACTTGTTTCTCTTTCAGAGGTCCAGGGTTCAGTCCCCAGCACCACATAACAGTGTACAGCCATCTGTTCCAGGGCATCCAACTCCCTCCTGTGATCTGTTCAGGCACTGCACACACATGGTACACAGACAGACATGCAGGCAGAACACCCACACATAAAATAAAAGTTGAAAGAAATTAAAGGTGGTGATGCTCTGCAGACCAGGCTGGTCTTGAACTCAGAGAGATCCACCTGCCTCTGCCTCCCAAGTGCTGGGAAGCAACACCTAAATTATAAAACAATTTTTTTGACTTCAATCAAAAAAGACATGCTTTGCCATCAGAATGGCACGTGTCTAGTTACAGTGGGCATACCCATAGTCCTTGCACTTGGAAAGGGTGGAGGCAGAAGAGTATTGCAAGTTTGAGGCCCCCTTGGTCTACCCTGAGAGTTCCAGGCTGTCCAGAGCCACATAGAGACAGAACACAAGTCCGGGTAAACAAAAAGATACGTGCTGGGCATGGCTTCTCAAACCAGTCATCCTGGCATCTGGGAGGAAGGATGATGAGTTTATGTTCCTGCCATACTTGGGCATGATGACTAGTATCAATTACTGACTTGACAGACTCTGAATTCCTTGGGGGATGGGCCCCCGGGCATGTCTGTGAGGGATTATCTAGATTAAGGTTAGCCTCTGAGAATGCCTATAGAGATTTAGCCTGATGACAGACCATTAATCCATTAATTATGTGGCAAGAGTTTTGTTGTTAAACAAGACATTGAGACAGGATTTCTCTGTGTAGCTCTGGCTGTCCTGGAACTCACTCTGTAGACGATGCTTGCTTGGAACTCAGGGATCTGCCTGCCTCTGCCTCCCCAGTGCTGTGTCCACACCTGGCCATATTTTTGGTTTTGAATGAGTGAATTAATAAGTATACAGCTAGCCACAGTAAAAGAATAAATAGCCAATAGGTAAATGACTAGGAAGAAGGATGGACAGACAGACAGCATTAAATGAGGTGTCAAAACATCCAGAAGAAAGTGAGTGGGGAACACCTGTAAGCAGCCAGCCAGAGTCCCCATCAGAAGTCCCTACAGACTAGTGTCCCTTCAAGCGAAGCTTCCAAGGAAAAGAACAGCGATGGAGGTAAAATCAGATCAAGCTCTCACCACCATCCGCCAGAAACCAGTGAGTTGAGACAGTCAGCTGGGGTTCCCAGTTGAGCTTTTTGTCCGTGGTAAGCCAGTCATGGCTGAACTCCGACTTCTCTTCCATGGCAGGCATTTGTCATGGGATAGGCAGTGATAGCATCTGTTGGAAATAGTTTTATCTTCTAGCTGTGCTCAAAGGCACAGGGTCCAGAACCAGCTGGGAGATGAGTCTCTCTGCATGCCCATTTTATTGTTTTCTCCTCCCTGCCGGGGATGGGGGACCGGCCCATCCCCAGACAAGAAGCCTTGAGGACACTCAGAAAAACACAATGAAAAGGGAGGGCAGCACATGGGACACCTACCTCCAGGGTTAGCTTTTCAGTTAGCTCAAACAACACATGGGAGTTCTGTTCCATGTTGATTTTACTAAAAAAATACAACAACCAGGTAGGTAAACCTTCCAACCAGATGGGTAAGCCTTCTAACCAGATAGATAAGCTTTGCCATGCACAGACAGGTCTGGCAGATCCCAAAGGAGATGAGGAAGTCATGACCTGAGAGATGTAAAGACTTGAAAGAAGTGGTCTGCTCGGTGCGGTAGCTCATCCCTGTAATCCCAGCATCTGGGAGGCAGAGGCAGATGAATCTCTGAGTTCAACACCAGCGTGCTCTGCATGGCAAGCTCCAAGCCAGCCAGGGCTGTCTCCAAAAAACAAAGAAAGAAAGCAATGGTTCATAGGAGCTGGAGGGTGGCTCTTGGGAAAGTGCTTGTTGTGTAAGCATGAGGGTTTGATTTTGGTCCTCAGACCTACATAAAAAGCCAGGCAGAGTGGTACTCACCTCTGATCCCAGAGATGGGAGGGCTGGACAAAAGGGAGCCTGTGGCTTGCTGCATGCCTGTGTCTAGTCCAGAAGGTAAGCTGCAGATTCAGAGAGACCCTGTCTCAAAAATGGAAAGTGACCAAGGAAGACACCTGATGTTGACCTGTGGCTTCCAAGAGTGCATATGCATACATGTATATCAGCATATACATGCACACACGAACATGTACACATACATACCATGAACATATATCAAAAAAAGCGATTAAGCAGTGCAGTGGTGGCCCATGCCTTTAATCCCTGCACTTGGTAGGCAGAGGCAGGTAGATCTCTGTGAGTTCAAGGCCAGCCTGATCTGTAGAGTAAGTTCCAGGACAGCCTCCAAAGTTACACAGAGAAACCCTGTCTTGAAAAAAAAAAATTGACTAATAAGCTGTTTCCAGGGAGCGCTGGGAAAGACCTATTCATGATATCTTCACTAATAGTGAAAAGTACTATTTTTTTTAAAAATGGATATATTTTTGCTTTATAGGAAAAAAGTGGAAATAGCAGACACTTGTATACCATGCATGATATCCTGGATCTGATTCCCAGAACCACAGATATTTTTAAAAAGTAGGAGGTGGGCTGGGCTGTGGTGGCGCACGCCTTTAATCCCAGCACTTGAGAGACAGGCGGATCTGTGAGTTTTGAGGCCAGCCTCAGCTACAGAGCAGATTCCAAGACAGCCAGGGATACGCAGAGAAACCTTGTCTCAAAACAGAAAAAGAAAGTGGGAGGTACGAGGTTGGCGCAGCAGTTGAGAATACTTGCTGCTCTTCTAGGGGCCCCGGGTTCATTTCCCAGTACACAGCAGACAGCTCACCACGAGATCCACTGCCTTCTCCTGGCCTCCACCAGCTCCTGTACACACGCGGCATAGGTGTATAGACACACAAAAGTGGATACTTTATAACAGCTCTGGCTGCCCTGGAACTCAATGCCGGTTAGAAGTAGATACTTTTTAAGTAAAAACAAATAGATGGTTTGGGGTGAGACTTGGTGGTAGAGCTGTTGCCTGGCCTGGGCAAGGTACTGGCTTTGATCCAGGCACACACAGATCCTTCCTTTAGATCTGTTAAAACCTTGTCTCTCTGGTCTATGTTCCAGCATTTCAGAGCCCCCAGGCCAGATGACCTATCTTCCTTCCAGCTCTGCCTTCCCGTTGGTGAGATGTGCAGGCGTTGGGCAGCAGGGCTGGAGGGACGGACCGCTACTCTGTGAGGTTGGGAGGAGAACTTAGCTCCTCTCCTGCTGCTGTCTCGGCAGGGACTTACGGTTAATTGAAGTCACTGAGACCATTTGCAAGAGGCTTCTGGACTACAGCCTGCACAAGGAGAGGACTGGCAGCAACCGGTTTGCCAAGGTTGGCTTTGTGCTTGCGCCTTATTCCCTCTGGGGCCGGGCCCTGGTGAATCTAAGTGTGTTTGTTGCTGCTCTGTGTGTGTGTGTGTGTGTGTGTGTGTGTGTGTGTGTGTGTGTGTGTGTGTGTGTATGTGTGTGTGTGTGTGTGTGTATGTGATTGGCAGGTCATGCCTGGGACCCTTCTTTCTCTCCTCTCACATTCTTGGATAGCTGCTCGTGTTTCTTGCTGAGCACAGACTCTGGAGTGGCATAAGGTATGTTTATGATGGCCCGGGCTTGCCCCGGGCTGGTAGCTCACATGGGTATCAGAAACACTGGGACACAACAAGATTCTCATAGCAGTGTGCCAGGGAGATGCCAGAAGACAGACATGATGCACTGTAACCCAAACACTTGCCTCCTAGGTGGGAGGCCTGAGGATCAGGAGTCAGGAGTTCAAGGCTAACCTCGGTTACATAGTTTGAGGCTGGTCTGGGCTACATGAAATCCTGTCTTAACAATTAATAAAAAATCTGAATGTCAGTTCCTCCTGTGAGTCATCCAGATCCCCTCAGGCCCTGGTGGTGCCTGTGTACACAGGTGCTTCCCCTGTCTCGTGTCTTTCATGCCTGCCACCCACATTTTCCTCCTGACTTTCCTTCTGTCCAAGGATGTCAGGCATAGCCCCTGACACCCCTGAGTATCTCAAGTAGAAATAAATCTTAGGTTTGTCTTTAAAACTTACATGGATTTAGTTAGTTAATCCATGATTGCTTTCATAAAAAGTGTTTCAAATTATTTTCTCCTGCCCAAGTACTGTGTAACATACCTGTTTGTCCCAGAATTTAGGAGGCAGGAAGATCTGAACTCTGAGGTCAGCTTGGCTACGCAAGCAACAAAGTACAAAAACCAAAAACCAGGTCGCAAACTATTAGAAACATTGTTAGCCAACAGAGCACGGGTTATACTAGGTTGTGTGTCTGATGTGGGACTGTGCAAAACAAAAACTAAAGCCAGTCAAGGGGGTACACACTGTACCCCAACACTCAAGAAGCAGAGGCAGATGGATCTCTGAGTTCTAATCCAGTCCAGTCTACACAGCAAGTTCTAGGCTAGATAGGGCCACATAATGAAATTCTGTCTCCAAAACAAGGATTGGATTTTCCCAGTTTGTTTTTCATGCCAGGCCTTTGCACAAGCCAGGCCAACATGTGTGTGTGTGTGTGTGTGTGTGAGTGTGAGTGTGTGTGTGTGTGTGTGTGAGAGAGAGAGAGATCTCTGAGAAGAGGGAAAAGTGGGAGTGGGTAGTGAATTCTTGGGGACAAGAGCTAGCTGGACAACGAGTCCAGCTTTTCACCGCATAACGAGTGCGCCACGCCTTAGCTGTGTGCTTCCTACCGAGGACAGACACAGCGAGGAGGAACATGGAGTGGTGAGTGGGCCTGGACACGGGGAGGGCTCCTTCCACTAAAACACTTGCTGGGGCTGGAGACATGGCTTCGCAGTTAATAGTATTTGTTGCTCTTGCAGAGGACCCGGGTTTGATTCCCAGCATCCCATGTGGTGTTCAGAGCCATCTGTAACATGATGGTTCCTGACTTATGTGGGCACCAAGAATACACATAGTGCACACAAAACACACAAAATAAAATTAATGATTAAATCTGATTTTAAAAAATTTTAAAGAGCCAGGTGTGAGCTGGGCATTGGTGGTGCACGCCTTTAATCCTAGCACTTAGAAGGCAGAGGCAGGTGGATCTCTGTGAGTTTGAGACCAGCCTGGTCTACAAGCACCAGTTGCAGGACAGGCTCCAAAGCCTCAGAGAAACCCTGTCTCGGAAAAAACAAACCAAACCAAAACTAAACAAAAGAGCCAGGTATGATGGTGCACACCTTTAATCCCAGCACTCAGGAGGCAGAGGCAGGTGATCTCTGAGTTTGAGGCCAGCCTGGTCTACACAGTGAGTTCCAGGACAGCTACAGTTGTTACACAGAGAGATTCTGTCTTTTTTGTTTGTTTGTTTGTTTTTCGAGACAGGGTTTCTCTGTATTGTTTCGGAGGCTATCGGTCGAGATTCTGTCTGAAAAACCAAAACAAACAAAAATTTAAGAACACTTGCAGCCCTTTTTACCCAATAAATTTTTATGTACATCACATAAGTGTAGACATCAGAGAGTTCTTAGGCTAGGGATGGCTAGGACTGAGTTTGGATCCCTAGTACTTAAAAAGCCAGATGCAGTCGGATGTGCCTGTTATCCCAGTGTTAGGCAGCACGAGGGAGGTGGGCACAGAGAATCTGCAGCTCATGGTCCAGCCAGTTGGCCGTGTGCAGCATATGAGAGAGACCTGTCCCTAACAGGATTGAAGGGGGAAATGGCGCCCAGCGTTGCATTCATAAACACACAATATGCACAAAGACTAAAAACAAATAAATGTTGGCTGAACGCTGGGTGCTGTAGGCATGGCATCTTCAACGCTTTTCAGAGTTGGTTTATGTTTTGATTTTGTGGTCTTAAGTGCAGAGAACCTCTGCTTTATGTACCTATGTATCCAGCATGGTGGAAGTTTATGCACAGCCATTTAAGAACATTGGAAATTCTGTCCTCAAAGCAAGTCCGTATTTTTACTAAATGCTTTTTATGAAACTCAGGTCAGGTTTCTATGAAACACAAACAGCAGTTTTCATTTATCTGTTTGTTTGTTTGTTTATTGTGAGGCAGAGTCTCTCTGTTACGTAGCTCTGTCTGACCTGGAACTCATTCTATAGACCAGGCTAGCCTCCAACTCTGAGAGATCCACCTGCTTCTGTCTCCCAAGAGCTGGTAATAAGGTGAATACCACCATACCCAGCTTATTTTATTTTTGTTTTTTTTTTTAATTTTGAGACAGGGTCTCACTATATAACTCTGTTTGGCCCAGAACTTATTTGTGTAGACCAGGCTGGCTCCAAACTCACAGAGATCATCTGCCTCTATCTCTGGAATCCTGGGATTAAAGGTGTGAGCTGCCACTCTCAGCCTTAAACAATTTTAAAAAAATCAAACGTTAAAAAAAATCAAGCATAATACAGCCCAACAATACTTATTTGATATTTGTAGGATAAATAATGGTGATAGGGAAGCATTTGAAGTATTTTTCCATAACTAACCCATTTGTATGCATGAGTACCCAGCCACATGGAAGGGGTGCAGCCAAGACACCTTATTTCCTGGGAAGAGATCTAAATTCATAGGTCAGAGAGTGGCAGCAGATAGATTTGAACACATGTGGTGAGGGACAGGTCAGGGTGTGTGTAGTCGGCGGTGGCAGAAGGCCAGCCTGAAAGAGGGAGAGAGGTCGGGCTAAGGGGGAGAAGCCCTGGGTGGATGGATGCCGTTGGTCCAGGATCTCAAATACCAGAGAGAGGAAGGCAGCAGGTAGAGATGGGCTGCAGCCATGCCTGGTTGCCTCTTCCAGGGCATGTCGGAGACCTTTGAGACGTTGCACAACCTAGTCCACAAAGGGGTCAAGGTGGTGATGGACATCCCCTATGAACTGTGGAATGAGACCTCTGCTGAGGTAGCCGACCTCAAGAAGCAGGTAAGGGCCCTGCAGCCTGCTGCGCTCAGGGGTGGGTAGGGCTGAGTCTACACTGAGGAAGGCTACCAAGAGCCATTCCTTTATCTATCCTTCCTGTCTGTCTGTCCATCCATCCATCCCCCATCCATCCATCCATCTATTGGGGACAGGTTCTCAGTATGCAGCCCTGACTTACCTGGAACTCACTCTGTAGAACAGGCTGGACTAAACTCACAGAAATACACCTGCCTCTGTCCCAGGAGTGCTGGGGTGAGAGGCGTGTGGCACCATTTCTGGCCCCTTTTACTTCTGCCTCATTTTCATTGGGCGAGTGGTACCTGCCTGCCTATCCCTGTGTGGGAGAGTTGGGCCTGGGTACCCAGTCCCTGGTGTTTCACAGTGCGACGTCCTGGTGGAGGAGTTTGAAGAGGTGATCGAGGACTGGTACAGGAACCACCAGGAGGAAGACCTGACTGAATTCCTCTGTGCCAACCACGTGCTGAAGGGCAAGGACACCAGTGAGTGGGGGCCGGCTGGGGGCCGGGGCAGTGTCTCCATTGTCTCCTTCCCTCGGGGAGGTGGGCAGCATAGGGCGGGAAAGTATAAGGCATCCTGCCTTCGGGGAGCCTGACGAGACGAGGTGAGGTCATGGCCCAGGCGCAGGAGCCAGGAACTGAGCCTGGACTCCACATGGGGAGATCTGCGGGAGGCACGCATTGTCGATGCTCCTCCCAGCAGCGCCCTCAAGCTGGCCCTCAGGCCTTTCTGTCCCTTCCCTCAGGTTGCCTGGCAGAGCGCTGGTCTGGCAAGAAGGGGGACATCGCCTCTCTAGGAGGGAAGAAATCCACGAAGAAGCGTGGCAGGGTGAAGGGCTCCAGCAGCAGCAGCAAGCAGAGGAAAGAACTGGGGAGCCTGGAGGGGGATGCCAGCCCTGAGGAAGAGGAGGGTGTGCAGAAGGCCTCCCCCCTCCCACACAGCCCCCCTGATGAGCTGTGAGCCCACCTTAGTGTCCTCCAATCAAGACCCCGACTGCAGAGCTCAGGAGCATGGGACACGGCTCCCGCGAGATGACTGTTGTCCAGCTTCCGGTCTCCTCTCTCGGCTGTGCCCTCTTCCTGCCCTGGAGCAACAGCAAGCAGTGGACTGATCTGGGGTGGGAGAGGAGGAGGGTGTGCAGAAGGCAGCTCTCTTGCTACCCAGCCCCCCCTCACGAGCTCCGGGTCCAACCCAGCATCCCCAAACGGAGACCCCTGACCTTGAAGCAGAAGAGCACAAGACACAGAAGATGACTGTTCCAGCGCTAGGTTTCCAGCAGGGTGGACACAGCCCCAGGAAGGACTTAGCTGGGCGTGGCAGTCAGACCCGCCTCTAGCTCCACTGAGCACTCTCTTCTGCTGGGTTCTTGGTCAGGTCTTGGGTTTCCGAGCTTCCAGGATGAACTCAGCGCGGTGTGGCACAAGGGGCTGAGCGCCAGAGCTGGAGCCGCTCCAGAGCGTGCAGCGGGGGCGCCACACCTGACCCCACGGGGAAGCAAAACTGCAGCCACAGCAGCTCCCCGCCCCCATCCACTCGTGAGGACAACTTGTGCTCTGCCGGGCCCTCCTCCCCAGGGCTACCAGAGTAAACACCTTTCCGCCTTTTGGTTCCGGTTCCTGGGTCCTTTCAGCCTCCAGAGTCCCCTCCTTGCTCTTTTCTGCCTGTCTCTCACAGTCCTGGGGGCTGGGAAGGTGACGATGCTGCCACCGTCATTGGAGGCTTAACCTACCAGTTACTAGGAGGAGCAGGTGCTGAGTGCGCCCAGGGTTGGTTTGGGTTAAAGCAGTGGTCCTCACCCTTCCCAGTGCTGCGACCCTTTAATACAGTTCCTCATGTTCTGGTGACCCTCAGCCATAAAATTATTTTCGTTGCTACGTCATAAGTGGAAACTTGATACTGTAGAATCTTAGTTTTGGATTTTTGGAGATAGAGGTTTGTTGAAGGGTCGTGACCCACAGATTGAGAACCACTAGGTTAAAGGTAGGTGGTGTGGGAGGGAGCTGCATGGTGACTGACCCTGTCCTCCAGCTGACCCTCATGCAGCAGCTGCCCATGCTTTCAAGGCCTGTCCCACTCTACTCCCTGGTGCCTCCTGTGCCCTGTGTCCTGGGCACCTGGCTGCCCTCCCCCCTCCCTCTACCCGAGAGGCTTTGCTGGCCGCTGTGTAAAGAATGTCGCTACCTGCTCCCATCCTCCTGCCGCATTCTGGTCTTGCTTGTTCTTGGACTTTGCTCCCTAATTGATCACATTTGGCCCCTTGGAGTTTAGGGGTTGGTAGGAGTCAGGGAACCCAGCTTCTCGATCATCTAGTTTGTGGCCAGTCTCTGATCATCCTGCCAGTAACCCTCAGTACTTCTCTGTCCAGAGCACCATTGATTCAAGAGTAGGATGAAGCAAAGCCCTCTCCGTGTCCAGGGGTGTTGATCCAACCACCCAATCCTAGTCTGGTCCAGGCCTGAGGGCATGTGTGGGATGTGTGAGGACTAGCACACTTTAACCTGAGCTGTTTTGTTTTGTTTCGAGACAGGGTTTCTCTGTGACTTTGGAGTCTGTCCTGGAACTAGCTCTTGTAGACTAGGCTAGTCTCAGATTCACAGAGATACTCCTGCCTCTGCCTCCCAAGTGCTAGGATTAAAGGCGTGCGCCACCACCGCCCGGCTAACCTGAGCTCTGGTAGGGGTTGTTCTCTGCCTCCCAAGGACCTGGTATTGCACCCTCACCAGCTCCCCTGCCACCACGCATCCTGCAGGCAGGCAGACCTGGCCAGTGTAGATAGGTAAAGGCTGGATCTGATATCCCCACCATTTATAGAAACCTGTTAATTTTGCTGTTGCCTACACTTTGATAACTTCCCACCCCAGCTGCATTAGCTGGAGCTGGAGTTAGGCTGAGTCCCTCATCAGAAACCTTTGGGAAGAGCTGGAGAATAGCCTGAAGTGCTTATTGGGAGGGTGCCCCGGAGACCAGCTGAACTAGACCTACTGAACTCCACGATTCACATTTCATCGTGTATGTGGCACGTGTGCATACTTGTTTAGTTGACAGGTCTCTGACACAGGATGGCCTAAGTAGGCCTTGCTAGCCAAGGCTGGCCCTGAAGTTGTGAACCAGCTGTTACAAGTATGTGCCATGTCCTGTCTTGTGGACCTTCAGATGAAGTAGGTGGGACACAACACCATTTGCAAATAGAGGAGCAGGACTCTAGTGAAGTCATGTTGTGTCTGGGGCTTGTCCTCAGAAGTGACTTGCCAATGAATTATCAGTGTGATCCCATCAGTTTACTATGGAGCTGGGGACCAATCCAGGGCCTCGCCATGCAAGGTGAGTGGTTTCACCAGCCATCCTGGTCATTCTACAGGTGACATTTCTCCAGCAGTTTTTTAAATCCCTGAGCACTTGCCAGATCCTCGGGCACACAGAAAGAGTGTTAAGTTTCCAGCCTGCCCTCTGAAGTGCTCTTTCCCTGGGAGGAGGATGGAGGGAGTAATGCAGACGGTCCCACACTGCTTAGCTTTTCAGATCCACCCAGCCTGTCCTTTTGCACGCGATTGCCCTGGCAGCCGTGACTACATTGCGAGGCTGTCTAAAAAGACAAAGTAGATGTGGTGTGCGCTTAGGAAACAGGCCAGTGGGGGCTGTAGAGGGAGACCCAGTGAGTCAAGGCACTGACTACCAAGCCTGACCAACCATTCCCACGGTTGAGTTGTTACTACACGTTTCTCCCCCCATTTTTTTTTGGCTTAGGTTTTATTTTTTTGTTTTGTTTTGTTATTTTGAGACAACGTTTCTCTATGTCACCCACAACTCTGGTTGTCCTGGAACTCACTCTGTAGACCAGGCTGGCCTTGAACTCACAGAGATCCACTTGCCTCTGTCTCCCTGAGCCCTGGGATTAAAGGCGTGCGCCACCACTGCTTGGCAGCAAATTATTATTATTTTTTTTTTTGAGACAGGGTTTCTCTGTGGCTTTGGAGGCTGTCCTGGAACTCACTTTGTAGACCAGGCTGGCCTCGAACTCACAGAGATCCACCTGCTTCTATCTCCCCGAGCGATGGGATTAAAGGCGTGTGCCACCACTGCTTGGCAGCAAATTATTTTTTTGTGAAGAATGTGTCTTTTAGTGGGGTGTGGTAGTGCATAATCTCAGCATTTAGGAGGCAGAGGCAGGGGGATTGCCACAAGTTCAACACCAGTTTGGTTTGTATACAAGATGTAGGCCAGCCAGCTAGCCAGCTACAGGGTGAGACCTTCCCCCTCATCCTTCCTGCCCCCCTCCCATCAAAAAAAAGAGAAACAAAAAATGTATCTAGTTCTGTGGTTAGATACCTGTAAATCTCAGCATTTAGGAGACTGAGGCAGGACCGCCTGGAGTTCCAGACCTACATAGTGAGACCCTGTCTCAGAACAAAATTAAAAAAAAAAATCTGGGGCCAGAGAGATGGCTCTTTAAAGCCCTGGCTGCTCTTCCAGAGGTCCTGAATTCAATTCCCACCAACCATATGGTGGCTCACAACCATCTGTAATGGGATCTGATGCCCTCTTCTGGCCTGCAAGCATACATGCAGACAGAACACTGTATAAATAAATAAGCAAATCTTTTTTAAAAAGCTGACACTGGGCCAGCCTGGTCTACAGAGCGAGCTCCAGGACAGCGTCCAAAACAATACAGAGAAACCCTGTCTCAAAAAACAAAAACAAAACAAAACAAAAAAAAAAGCTGACACTGGGTTCAACAACATCTCCCTCCCCAACATTATAGATAACCTTCCTACCTCCACAAGAAGGATTTTACGGGGAGAGATCCCAACCTCATAGAAGCGGTCAGCTCTCCTGAACAGAGGGCCACAAAGTGCTGCTCCCACTGGGAAGAGAATGCTTGTCTTGAGGCAGTGTCTCACGCTGTAGTCTAGGCTGGAACGCAGCAGGCTGCTCTCACACGTGTGGGATTCTCCTGCCCCACCCTCCCAACTCTAGGACTAAAGCCTGAGCCGTTGTGTCCAGGTTAATTCCTCTTTTTGAGAAGTTTTCACTTCGTTGCAGGCTGGCTTTGAACTCCTGAGCTCACATGACTTCTGCCATAGCTTCCGGAGTAGCTGAGACTGTCTATACAGGTGTATGCAGGGGCCCATGAATACAGTCATCTAAGATGGGTGTGGTGTCTCATGCCTGTAACCCCAGCATCCAGAGAGCTGAGGCAGGAGACTTGCTTTCAAAACTAGACTATATAGTACCAGGCCAGCCAGAGCTACATAAGCCAGCCGTAAATAGTGGTTCTCAACCTGGGGGTCACGACCCCTTTAGAGCTGAAGGACCTTTTCTCAGGGGTCACATATCAGATATCCTGCATATCAGATATTTACAATTCATAAAAGTAGCAAAATTGCAGTTATGAAGTAGCAATGAAATATTTTTATGGTGGGGGGTCACCACAGTATGAACTGTATTACAGGGTCACAGCATTAGGAAGATTGAGAATCACTGGTCTAAAACAACAAAAAGGCCAGCAAGATGGCTCAGGTAAAAGTGCTTGCTCCAAAGCCTGATGGATGCCCGAGTGTGAGCTCAGGAACCAGCTCTCACATGCCCATGAGCTCAGGAACCAGGCACGCCCATGCCATGTATGCTTTTTTTCTGAACAATTTGTTTTTTGAAACAGGGTCTCTACATAGCTCTGGCTGTCCTGGAACTCACTATGTAGACCAAGCTGGCCTTGAACTCATACAGATTCAGCTGCCTGTGCCTCCTGAGTGCTGGGATTAAAGATATGTCACCACCACTCCTGGTTCCCCAGTTTTTAAAACCTAAGTAAATAAATGAAAAGATGATCATTTAAGATGAGAAATATGAGCTCTGGAAAAAGTCTAGGATTGTTAGATTTACTCCAAGAGTATTTTGATGAATGACGTTGTATTTACTTGAAATTCCCAAATATAATTTTTCTCTCCCCTTTGCAGGACTGATGTAGCCCAGATTGGCCTTGAACTTTATGTAACTTAGAATAACATTGAACTTCTGTCCTCACCCTCAGGTTTCCAAATACTGGAATCACAGGTGTGCACCATAACACTCAGGTTTCACAGTCTGACTGAGCATAGTGTCACAGACCTGTCTGAGGACTACTGAGCCCCGAGACTGTATTATTTGAGCCTGGACAGAACCATTGAGATTGGCTCTGTACTAACAAAAAAAGTTAAAAAAAAAAAAAAAAAGGTGGACTGGAGCAATATCTCAGCTGTTAAAGCCATGGCTGCAGCTGGGTAGCAGTGGTTCACATTTTAGCCCCAGCAGGCGGAAGCAGAGGCAGGAGGATCTCTGAATTGGAGGCCAGCCTGGTCTACAGAGCGGGTTCCAGGACAGCCAGATGGACTTCACAGAGAAACCCTGTCTGGAAAAAACAAATAAAACCAAAACAAGCCCGGGCGTTGGTGGCGCACGCCTTTAATCCCAGCACTCGGGAGGCAGAGGCAGGCGGATCTCTGTGAGTTCGAGGCCAGCCTGGTCTACAAATCGAGTTCCAGGACAGCTTCCAAGACAATACAGAGAAACCCTGTCTCGGGAAGAAAACAAAACAAAGCAAAACAAAACTGTCTTCACTTCCACCAATAGGATCTAGGTTCCATATCCTAGCCCCCACATGATGGTGTCTGTAACTCCAGTTCCAGGGGATCTGATGCCCTCTTCTTGTTTCCACGGGCACCAGATACACACGCAGTACACTGACATCTATGCAGTCGAAGCAACCGTACACGTTATTTTACAAAGTTAAAAATGACAGCACAATTGTGGTGTTCTTCCAGTTCCTCAGTTTCACCGACCCAGCCTTTAGGATAGTGCTCTGTATAGCTCAGGGACTGGACGGCCCAAACTACCTCAGAAGGCTCCTGGCGTGAAAACGGATGGAGGAAGGAGTGGGCCTGATGTCACCTAGAGAGACACACCTATCTCCAAGTGGATTGGGCTCTTGTCCTTGAGTGGGCACATCAGCATCTTTCCTAAAGACTTTCTCCATCATTCCGAGAAAGACTGGCCCTCTTCTGTGGTGTGTTCCTTCTGTGGACTACTAGTATTGGGACACCCTACTGTGCTGGGCGTGGTCTAATATTGTTTTGCATGGATTCCAAAGGTTTCTTCCTTTCCCACTTGGATAAGGCCACTCATTGATCTACCCTCTCTCGACTCCTCCTAGCTCCTGGCCACTGAACTGCGTCCTATCTGTTCTATCTTACTATGAGAAAAACCAGGTCCAGGATTGCCTGGCTGAGCCATCCATCCCCCCTGCAGAGGCAGCCTGGCTCTGTTCCCGGGGCTCAGGGCCCAGCAGGGGCGTATCCCCTCCCTTACCTGCCATTGGCCAGGTGGGACTGCCCTGCCTGAGGATTATAAGTGCTGAGCTCGGGGGCCTGAGAGCCAGGCACAGGTCAGGATGGTGGACAGCATTTACCGTACCCGCTCCCTGGGGGTGGCAGCAGAAGGACTCCCGGACCAGTATGCAGACGGAGAGGCCGCACGGGTGTGGCAGCTGTACATCGGGGACACTCGCAGCCGCACCGCAGAGTACAAGGCGTGGCTGCTTGGGCTGCTGCGCCAGCATGGTTGCCATCGGGTGTTGGACGTGGCCTGTGGTACAGGGTGAGTTCAAATGGAGCCAGGACCGCTGCACCACAGGAAGGCCAGCAGGGGCAGCCTTTGAGGGTGGGAGCGTGGCAGGTAGCACTGGCGGGCCAGGAGTCCCTGCCCTTAGGGTAGAATGGGCATGGTGAGAGCACCTGCCAAAATAGTGTTGGGAGGGGGCCAAGGAGACTCGGCCGGGGCGAGGGTGCGAGCAGAGTATTCATGGGACAGGGTAAAAGCCCGACTTCCAGTCTAGCTGGATCCTTGGCCCTATCGCTGTTCCTCCTGTGATGGCCTTGGGCAGTGTGAACAGACCATCTGTGCAACGTTTGCACAGCCAAATGCTGTACCAAGACTTTGGGTACATGTGTTTCAAACCGCAACAAAAACCATGAGGTAAGTAGTGATTTTCTCCAATTAGTACCAAGGAAGCTCCAGTTAGTGTCGGGCCCATACTCTGGCTCAGCACAGGACACTTAACTGAGTTTATTTCCAGGAGCCTTGGTAGGCCTAGTTCTCAAATGCACATTTATATAGTGCCTGGTTCTGATTTTTTTTTTCCAGACATGGTTTCGCTGTAGCTCTGGAGGTTGTCCTGGAACTGGTTCTGTAGACAAGGATTGGCCTCGAACTCAAAGATTTGCCTGTCTCTACCTCCCGAATGCCCGGCCGGATTATTTCTTTTTTAAAATACTGAGCTGGAGAGATAATTGAGCTACCAAGTGCCTCCGTTGCTCTTGCACTGGACAGGGCTTCAGTTCCTGGCATCTACATCAATGGTTCACAATAGCTTGTAACTCCATTCCAGGAGAATAAAATCTCTTCTGGCCTTGGCGGGCACTGCAGTCACAAGCACACATACAAATATAATTAAAACTTAAAATTTAAGCTGGGTGGTGGCGGCACATACCTTTAATCCCAGCACTTAGGGAGACCTACGTAGGTGGGTCTCTGTGCACTCCAGGCCATCCATCCAGGGCTACATGAGACCCTATCTCTAATAAATAAGAGGGAAGGCTTAGCAGTTGAGAGTACTTGGGCTCTTACAGAGACCCAGCATCTTCCTCTGGCTTCTGTAGACAGCAGACATGCATATGTATGATACACATATTCAAACAAGACACATAAAATTAAATTGTTTTTGAGGCAAGGTCTCTCTTTGTAGCTCTGGTTATCCTGGAATTCACTATGTATACCAGGTTAAAAACCTTAAAAAAATATTTAAGGAATATACTTGTGCCTGGTGGTGGTGGTACACATCTTTAATCTCAGCACTCAGTAGGCAGAGGCATATGAATCTCTGTGAGTTCGAGGCCAGCAAGGTCTACAGAGTGAGTTCCAGGCCAGCCAGGGCTGCACACTGAAGCCCTGTCAGGGGAGGTGGCCTGAGACAGGAGGCAGAGGTGTGGCCTATGAAATAGTATGTCTGGTGAAATGCCTCGTGCACGGCGGCCTCCTTTGGCGTCCCACACTCTCCCGACTGGTCCTCTCAGCTCCTCATCTCTGACCCCACCCAGAGTGGACTCCATCATGCTGGTGGAAGAGGGCTTCAGTGTGACGAGCGTGGATGCCAGTGACAAGATGCTGAAGTACGCCCTGAAGGAGCGCTGGAACAGGAGGAGGGAGCCGGCCTTTGACAAGTGGGGTACGTAGGTCCAGCCGGGCCCAGCCCCACATTCCCAGGGTCTCTCTTCTCTCAGCCCTGGGCTCCACAGTTCCTGTCACCCTCCTAAACTGGAAGGCTGCCACAGCAGAGTAAGAGGCCAGGCATTAAGGATGAGCTTGCTGTGTTTTTGATGCTTGGGTTGATCTTGGGCATGCCGAGCAGACACTTGACAACTGAGCATACTGTCAGCATTTTTATGTTTTCCCATGTTGCCTGCTCTGCTTAGGCTAGGTTCAAGTGATTCTCCTGCCTCAGCTTTCCAACCAGCAGGGACTAGAGGTACACGCCATTTACAGGTTCTGTAGAACTTTTAATTGTTCACAGTATCCTGTCTCTCCTCCTGTGAAAGCCGGTAAGTGGAGAGCTAGCTTTCCCAGCGATGGCTCTCTCCCATTTCATCCTCCATGTCCCTAATGAGCGCCACATGTCCCTGGGTGGAGGTGGCTGCTGCTGTACTGCCACTGACTCTGTCCTCCTCCCCTGGTCTCCAGTCATTGAAGAAGCCAACTGGCTGACTCTGGACAAAGATGTGCCAGCAGGAGATGGTTTTGATGCTGTCATCTGCCTCGGGAACAGTTTTGCTCACTTGCCAGACTGCAAAGGTGGGCTTGTGACCTTGGCTGTGGATTTTGCCTTGGTCTCCGCCACTCCCGATGATGGCTGGCTGGCTGCTTTGACAAGGCAGACCTGCTTTGGCCCCTCTTCCTTAGTGCTGGCACTTGGGAGGGAGGCGGGAGGGCGGATGGTACTGGAGGCCCCATTTGACAGTGTCTGTGGCCCTGTCTGGCACCCAGGTGACCAGAGCGAGCACAGGCTGGCGCTCAAGAACATTGCCAGCATGGTGCGGCCTGGGGGCCTGCTGGTCATCGATCACCGCAACTACGACCACATCCTCAGCACGGGCTGTGCTCCCCCAGGAAAGAACATCTACTATAAGGTCAGGCTGGCCCGAGTGGGAGGTATGAGCTGGGAGGCCAGAAGCCCCATAGTGGCTTATGGAAGCTAATGTAGTTGCGGCCACTGCGTACAGAGTGACCTGACCAAGGACATCACAACGTCAGTGCTGGCCGTGAACAACAAAGTCCACATGGTAACCCTGGACTACACAGTGCAGGTGCCAGGCTCAGGCAGAGATGGCTCTCCTGGCTTCAGGTATGGCATGGTTTTAGCAGGAGTGAGGTCATGGTGGTAGGGAGAGCTGAGGCCAGCAGGCCTCACGCTTGGCTGGGGGCCCTGTTGCAGTAAGTTCCGGCTCTCTTACTACCCACACTGTTTGGCATCCTTCACGGAGTTGCTCCAAGCAGCCTTCGGGGGCAAGTGCCAACACAGCGTCCTGGGCGACTTCAAGCCTTACAAGCCCGGCCAGGCCTACATTCCCTGCTATTTCATCCACGTGCTCAAGAAGACCACCTGAAGGCGGCTTTGGCTCCGATAAGCCCCCTGCCCAGGCAACGGCAACCTCTGGGGTGGGACTAACTCATGTCCTCACCACAAGACCAACTCTTAACACGGATGCTGCGGCTGGGTGCAGGGATTTGGGAGCAGGCAAGTGGGGATCTGCAATACAGTCTGTGCCTTTTTCAACCCCTGTGCCTTGTGTTTCTTTCAGAAGTAACATACTCTCATGGTGTCCATCCCTCCCCTCCCCTAGACCTTACTACTCCCAAAACCTTGCCCTTTGCACGGCAACCTCTCACAACACCAGCAGGGGGCACTACAGACTTTATTTTCTGTCGCAGAACTGGTGCCTCAACACCAATGCCCCAGGCTGCCAGGCCTGGCTCTCCTCCTAAACACAAGGGCCTCCCACTATGGCTCACATGGGATGTGGAGGAAGGCAGGCTGCAGGTGGCATGGCAGCAGGCACTTCCAGCCACGTGGGCAGATGCAGACAAGGATGGCAAGCAGCTCCTAGCAGGCGGCAAACTTGCGCTGGATGCGCTTGTATCGTAGCAGCTCCTGCTCGCTGACTGAGGGCTGCAGCCTGGCTGCGGCCTGCAGCAGGTCCTCCATGGTAAGCAGCAGTGCTGAGCTCCCCAACTCTAGCCCTGAGGGGAGGCAAGGAAGAGTAAGGCCAGAGCCCACCCTTGCTGAAGAACCGAGGCCTGGTCTGTGCCTAAGGAGGAAAGCGCCCTGGGGAGGCCCCATCCTGCTCAGCTGTCCCCCTGAAATTCAGGGCCAGGCCTGGCTCCCACTAGCTTTTTGGTTCCCATATGGGGCTAGTGAGTGGGCTCACCTTCCTCTAGGTCTCGAACCCTGCGTTTGAGGGCAGCTGTCATGGCGTCAGAGCACAGAGAATAGAGGTCTGCACCTGTCAGCTGGGGTGGGCAGCGATCCAGCACGTTCACCAGGCTCACAGAAGCCTCCAGCTTGAACCTGTCACCGGATACAGAAATGTTAAAGCTGGCTTCAGCTCCCCGGAAAAGCCACACTGACTGGCGCACACTCCCTAGCCATCCCGAGGCCTCAGCCCTGTGACAAGGCGCACTTGCGTGTGATGGCGCTCAGAACTCGCAGCTGGGAAGCGCGGTCCTCACTTGCTCCTACAAACACAAGCTTGTCGAATCTTCAGAGAGACAGAAACAGGAAAGTGTCAGGGCTGCCAGACAGGAGAATGAAAGATATACAGAGCAGAGGTCAAGAAACAGGCCCAAAGCAGTGTGGTTGGGGAGAGGCCCAGGCTACCCACCTGCCAGGCCGCAGAAGGGCGGGGTCTAGGAGGTCTGGTCTGTTAGTGGCTCCAATCACAAACACATCCTGAGTGCTGTGAAGGCCGTCCAGCTCGGCCAAGAGCTGAGACACCACTCTGTAGGAGACAAAGGCCAAGAGCTGAGACACCACTCTGTAGAAGGACGCAAAGGCCAGAGCCCTTGGTGCCCTCGGGCTGCCAGTGTTTCTCTTCGAAGGCTACTTCAGCAAGGTCCCTTGCTGAGCTCTGCCCCATGTCCCTCTCCACAAAGGCAGCCCTCCTCAAAGTTCTACACCCAACTCCCTTTTTGTGTCCATCCTACTAGCCCTGAATTGGAAGGGCAGATTCCGGATCTGAAGACTAATCTCCCATCCCCCACCTGGGATCCCAGACTCCATTCCAGATCTGAAGACTAATCTCCCATCCCCCACCTGGGACCCCAGACTCCATTCCGGATCTGAAGACTAATCTCCCATCCCCCACCTGGGATCCCAGACTCCATTCCGGATCTGAAGACTAATGTCTCATCCCCCCACCTGGGATCCCAGACTGCATTCCCATCTGAAGACTAATGTCCCTCCCCACCTGGGATCCCAGACTGCATTCCCATCTGAGTCCCTGACCTGTCCATCACACCTCCAGAGTCTCCACTTCGTCCGCGGCTTGGCGCTAAGGAGTCTAGCTCATCAAAGAAGATGATACACGGAGCAGCGGCCCTGGCCCTGGCAAACACTGAGAAAGAGGCTCGCAGGAGAGTGGTGTCAACACGTTTGAAGTCAGGGGAGACACGGGAAATGGCCCAGGCAGCCGAGGCAACTGCCCAGCTGGGCTGAGCATGAGCAGTAGGCTGGGGGAGGGAGGCGGCACTCGGGCCACTGGAGTTGGAGAAGGGCCCAGGCTGCCCTCCCTGCTACTCACCTTCCCGCACATTCTCCTCACTTTGGCCCACGTACATGTTGATGAGCTCTGGTCCCTTTACACTGAGCAACAGAACGGGCGGGTGAGACCCATCAGACGCGCAGTGTGCACAGCTGCCCTCTCCTCCCTCCCACATTTCCTTCCAAGCGCTGCCCACCTGAGGAAGGTGAGGCTGCACTCAGTGGCCACTGCCTTGGCCAAGAGGGTCTTGCCAGTGCCCGGAGGCCCATGGAGCAGAAGGCCTGATCGTCTCAGGCCCAGGCCCAGCAGCTCGGGGTGTTCCAGAGGGAGCTGGATGGTCTCCAGGATCTCCTTCTTTACATCCTGCAGCCCACCCACATCGTGCCAGGACACTGACGGGATCTAGGAGGCAGAGGAGTGTAGGGAGGTGCCAGGAAGGAGCGAGGGCCCCACCTTGAGGACCTAGTTCTCACCTTGGGTGCGCCCACAGCTTGGGAGTAAGCTGTTTGCAGCTCATCTAGGGCTTGCCCAAAGTCCTCGGCCAGCAGGGGAAAGCCAGCCGCACACAGCTCCCCCTCATCCTCCTCACTGAAGCCACCTGCCAAACTTCACAGAGAAACATGGGGCTAGGCTTACACCTGCAAGACTACACAGTAAGTTCTAGGGCAGCCAAGGCGAGACCCTGTCTTTAAAAAAAGACCCAGCCGACCAAGCTATGGATTAAGATTGTCAGAAAGAACAGAAAGAACAAGAGAAAAGACCACCTCTCTGCAGGTCTCATTACCTTCTCCCCACCTCACCAGCCACCTCCCCCTGTGCCGCCGAGCTCCTCTTACCCCGAGGCTCTGATCCTGGCACAGGCTACCCGGCTGGTGTGGCTGAGAAGGGCATAAAGGTCTCCCACCACGAAGCCCTAGGGAATTATACAAAAGGACACATGAGCACGGTGTAGCTGGTGGAGCCCGTAGGGTCTGGATCCAGCTGAGCAGAGGCTTTGGTCGTTTCCTGTCTCACAAGACACCAAAGTCCTGCATGTGGCAATGAACCTGTGACCTCCCAGAGTCAGGCACCTGTGCAGATCCTCACCGCACAGCGCCGTGCCAGCTGCGACAGGTTCACCTCCTGGCCCAAGGGAAGGTGGGCAGTGAGGGCCCGCAGGACACTGAGCCGCTGCTCCTCGGACAGCACAGGCACCTCCAGCTCATGAGGAAACGCTGTACGCACATCAGTGGGCAGGTCCTGGGCGCGGCTTGTGGTGGCCACCACCACGAGGGGAGGGCAACTGCAGACAGAGGAATGGGCAGAGCGAGAACATGGCTGGCAGCTCTTGAGGTGTGGAGACGGTTGGTGTCACGATTGGGTAGGGACAAGCGCCATCCACAGTCCCAGCACAAGTTGTGGGGACACCATCTGTGTGTCACAGGGGGAGGCCACTGAGGACGAAGGCTTCAACCCAGTGTTTCCTGGAAAATGCTAGACTGCACCCTGCTTCCCCTGGAGACTCCTAAGAATTCAGTGAGATTTCTGAGAAGCCAACGTGGGTGAGGAAATAAGGAGTTAGGGCCGAAAGACTTAGGAGGGGCCTTCCCTCCTCACCTGCCTCTCTGTAAGTACCTGCTGAGGGGGTCCTCATCGAGGAGGAGGTGACGTAGTGTGGCCACCACGCGGGCATCCTCACCCATCCCGTCGCGGTCCCGGCCCAGAAGGTCCACAGCTGTCAGCAGCAGGACGGCAGGCCTGCAGCGGCGGGCCCGGGAGAAGGCCGCCTGCAGCTTCGTCTCCACAGCCCCACTGCTGTCTGCACAGAGGCTGCAGCAGGGCACCTGTGAAGAGGCCAGCCGGTCAGTGAGGAGCGGGAGGAGTCACAGGCAGACCACCTTCTCTATGGAGGGCAGGCACGGGTGAAGGAGGAGCACTGGCCACACAGGAGCTTTTCTTCCTGCTATCCATTCCTGGGAATATGAGGGCCTGAGTAACTGAGCAGCATGGGTTATGTGTTAGCCCGGACTACTGGTTAGCTCAAGGGTTAGGGCTGCTAGATGGTAATGAGGGAACACAGAGGAAGAGAGAGAAAGGCAGACTCTGGCCTGAGGGGAAGCGGTTGGGGTTCTCACCTTCAGTAAATGGAGCCCAAGGCGATTACAAGCAGCCGTGACTGAGGTGGTCTTCCCACTGCCTGGGGGGCCCCGAAGCAGCACACAGCCTGTCCCCGTGAGCAAGGTTCCTCTGCAATTAGAGAATAAACACCATCTCCCACTTTCTGCCCAAATGTAAGACCACAGTAACACAGGCACCCTTGGATCTCAAAGGCACTGTTTCTGCTTGTGCCTCCCTACCCCCCAGTCAGGCTGTCTCCACTCTGAGGCCCTGTCTGTCAAGTTCAGGCAGAGACACCGCACTAAGACACAGACGCTCTGCCTCCAGGAAAGCCTAGCTTGGTAGCTCTGGTCTGAAGAGCAGAGGGAGTGGTCTGGGTTTAGACTTGGGCCACTTCATCCTTGGGGAAGGAGGGTAAAGGCCAGGATGGATCGTGAGCTCCCCAAGCAGAAAAGCAGGCACAGAGAGAGCCACCTGGGAGTCTGCCAGTGGCCTGGCCTGGGGGTCCAGGCTTGTGGGCCCCCACTCTGGTAGACCATTGGGAGTTATTTTCCTCTACACTGCTCTGCAGGGGTGCTCTGGGCAGGCCCCCCTTCTCACAGCCTGGATTTACACGTCACTCACCCAGGCTGCAGGTGAGGCTTCAGGACACCACAGAGCTCCTTCACCAAGGCCTCCAGGCCTGGAGGAGACAAGCTGTCCCAAGGAGTGGACCTTCCTGAAGGCAGCAGTGGAACACGACTCAGGGTCGAACCTGCCTGCAAAAGGTAGGAAGCCCATGGTTCTATGGTGCCCCCACCCTTTGCCAGGTCTCCTTCTGCCCAGGGTCTTACCATGTATAAAGAGGTGTGGGTGGTGTCTGCCAGGAAGGCACTGGCTGGCCCAGCTGGGGCTTCCCCAACCGTTTTCTTCACTTTAA